TTAAACAACACTATTTTTAGCTTCAAAAAGTAAGAAGCGGAGTGTATCCTTTTGGGAAATGTACTGAAAACTAAGTAAATTATCTGACTAGCTTCAGGACCTTGCAGTAAATAGGGATGATAAATAACAAGCAGCCAGTGCTTTCAAGCAGGAACAATGGAAATCACAATTTCACTGGCCTCATTACAAAGATTGTGTTGTTTTCTATGGAAATTAAAACTTGTAAAAAATGTTTGCTGTTTTTCATTATAAAGGAATGTTCCCATATGTAAGTGAATTCTTACTGTAGAGGCATGTGGTCTATTGTTATTGCAGGAGCTCTCAAACTTTTCTACAGTACAGACCAAATTTTAACACAGAGATCATCTCGTGGACCACCTGCCTCCCATTTGTAATCACATGAACCACGCATTCTCAGCTGTGACTGTAGAACATCCTTGTGGCAACACACTCATGAACTGATTACACGAAAGAGTGAAAGTAACACGTTTTAAGTATAATTTATTGCAATTTAGCAGCTGGAAAAAATAAAACAGCCAGCACTATGTGACCAGCCAGTTTTTCATGAGCCACCAGTAAGCGTTCCACAGACCAGTTTGAGAATCACTGGTCTATTTAAATAATTTTAGAATTAGGAGTCTTTGTGACATAAGCCAAGCTACAAAAATCTGTAAATAGCTTAGTTTTCTCTATTTGAAAATGAGTATAATACCTACAACTTTATCCTCTAAATACTAGCGGATGAATATGGACCATGAACACCTTTATTTTCAGGGAGAGATTTTATCAGGTTATCCAAAAGCAATTTAGGATTTACAGTGTCTGCACCAGCATAACTTATATAGATATGGAAAGCAAAAGACAAAAATCGGCTCTTTGAAAAACTAGGATAAAATGTTAGTTTCTGTAAATGTTTTGAAATATATAGTTGATTTTAATGTCTTTTTACTGAGGAGGGGCTTTCTGCATAGACAAAAACAGTTTCAAGGAATCCTTATAATAAATGCTAAGTAGATTTTAAAACACAGAGGATTCAGGGCTAGACATACAGTAGCATTGCTAAAAAGGAGTAAATATGAGCTATAAAAGCCCAGACCCTTCGGCCCTTTTGTAAGAAAAGCTCCCATTTTCCTGCACAAGGACTGCAGGATACTGGTCAAAGTGTTTTGCTTAATTTTTTGTTTTGTTTAAGTGCCATCAAGGAGGAGGCAGACATTATTTTGGATTCACATGTTCTAAGCTTTTTCACCTTCAGTTCAACAAGCTGCAATTGACAATCCTAGGACAAGAAGCTGACAGAGCTCACTGTGAAAGCTGGAAATATCCTCATGCAGGTAACCAGTGGCAAGGTATTTATGTCTCATAATTATAAGCTGAAATGCTCTTGGTTGGAATCCGTCCTACAGATGTTCCTGCTTCAATAGGCTCATGGACAGGAAAAAAATCTCTTCTGCATCCACTGTGCTCTCAGTCTGTCAGCAATCAATTGAACATAGAGCCCTCAAAACAACATTGAGACCTAGTTTGACAGCACTGCTGTAAATCATTCCAAAGTGTTTCAGTCTGTTTGAATTACAACAAGCTGAATACAATTAAGTAAGAGTATAAATGACAGAATAACAATAGTATCATCTCGGGGCACCTCATGAGGGTCAAAATGATATACAAGCTGGAGCTCCTGCAAGCTGAAGAATGGTAGTGAACATGCCTTGCCTGCAGTTGTATGCTACAGGAGAGAACTGGACATGAAGCTATTGGAACGAGGGCTAGGTTAAAGGGAACAAAAAGAGGTATCAATGCTTTGAAGTTGCCTCACAAAATCAATAACAGGTGTAAGGGAAAATATAATGCAGAGAAAAAGATGCACTCTTTAATCTAGGACAGTCGCTCTCAACCTTTCCAGACTACCCCTTTTGGGAAGCTGATTTGTCTTGCGTACCCCAAGTTTCACCTCAATTAAAAACTACTTGCTGACAAAATCAGGCTTAAAAATACAAAAGTTTCACAGCACACAATTACTGAAAAATGGCTCACTTTCTCATTTTTACCAAATAATAATAAAATAAATCAATTGGAATATAAATATTGTACTTACATTTCAGTGTATAGTTTATAGAGCATTGTCTGTAATATGAGATTTTAATTTGTACTGACTTTGCTAATGCTTTTTATGTAGCCTGTTGTAAAAGTAGGCAAATATCTAGATGAGTTGATGTACCCCCTGGAATACCTCTCCATATCCCCAGGAGTATGTGTACCCCTGGTTGAGAACCACTGATCTAGGAAGTAGCGGTCAAGTATAGTATTTAATACTAGGTATATTTTCTATTGTAGAGGAGCTACGGTATATTCTGTGACTGAAAGCAGAAAGGACTCTGATCTCTTAGATATTTTGCATCTCTTACGTGAGCCTATTTAGGTAATTCTTGCTTACATGAAGACTGATGGCTATCAGGCCCCCATTGATTAGATTTTAGGGGCCTTGTCCCTCCCCATTTTTTTTTAAAAAAAGGGTATTTCTCCCACTATCACCAAAACAAATGAACAGAATAACCACTGTAGCAAGATATATTTAGGAATAGAAGATGCAAGTAATTCACCTTTACATAAAAAAATGTTCTCTAATCAGTTGGAGCCAACTTCAAATGCCATCTTGTTAGATGGCAGTCCTGCTGGAAAAAATGGCCCTTAGTTACTAACAATTGGCTAATGTGTAGCAGTAGTAATATTTTGTAATTCATTAGCTTTGTTCAAGATTCACCAGATACAATCAATCAGTCAATAAAAGGAATGGATCTCCAAAATGAAAGATATTGAAGAGATGGTGAGATTAAGGCCCATTTAAACCTTCAAAACGAGACATGCAACTGGGTGGCCACTTCAGCCCATGTGATAGCTCAAAAAAAAGCAGATAGACCTAGTAAATGTAAAAGCACTTATTCTTCATGGACCCTCTGACAGTCAGTCAGTCAAACCATTCATACATTTTTCTTTAGTTATTCAATGTAATTCTTTCTGGTTGTGCTATAGAAGCATATTATGTAACAAGTAGGCCCACACCCCTGGATGTTATGTTTTGAGTTTGGATAATTCAGACTATATCATGCTGTGAAGCCCATACTAGCTCATTGGCTATCAGATCTTGCATGTGGTAGTAAAGATTTTACCCCATATACAGATTTTTTAAAATGCTGGCTTGTACTGTGACTAATGCTAGGAGGTCATTTTATGACCCTTTTGAGGCTGGGGGCTAAACTACAGGACATCAGTGAGAGGTCAGTATGACATATGTATCTCAGCAGCATTTCTGCAATCCTACTCCATTCATCTTGGGAAATGCTAGGATGCCACCTTCTAGATATGCTATTTTCAGCAAAAAACAGAGACACCCACAGCCCAATTCCTTCTCCCTCATCTCCCAACACAGTTTAAACATCCAGAGATGATGGGGATGAAGGCAGATTAACCACAAATCTTTGCAACCCTGGGATTCTTATTTCTGCCTGCCTTCTAGCAGATTACAGAGCCTACTGCTAAGTGTATTGTTCTGTGCATTTCTACCATTGCCTGGTCTTAAAGCAGAGCGCTCCATGGTTCTGGTGAATCCAGGCTATTTCTGCAGGCATTCTGCGCCAAAAAATAAAAAATTCTGCTCACAATATTTTAAAATTCTGCAAATTTTATTTGTCAAAATACTGCATAATCACACCAGTTTCAATTATTTTGGTAATTTATTTCAAAATACCTGTCAGCAAGTATGTCTGTAGCAATACAGATACTCACAAAAATTCCCCCAGAAGTAGGGAGTTAAAGAAACCCCTATGACAACTTAGTTCCTGTTCTCTGCCCCCTCCCTGGCCCCGATCCCACCCAGGGGGCCAGACACCCACAATCCAGCCAATACACACGAACCACCTACCCTCAGAGCCCAGCCGCAGGGTCCCCTCAGCCCAGTTAACTGTATCCCCTCCCCACAGAGTCCAGCCAAGGAGCCCCCAGCCCACATACCCACACCTCCTCCTCTCCAGAGCTCAGCTGTGGCCCCCAAGCCCAGACACCTGCCCCCTCCCTCCTAGAGCTCAGCCATAGCCTGCCCCCCCCCACCCAGGCACCCAGTTTGTTACCGCTCAGAGATCCAGAGGGAGAAACAGCCTGATGCTGGGTCTCAGGCTTGTGCAGAGTTTCCTGCACACTGCCATCTCCTTCCCTCAAGGCGTGCAGGGAACCCTCTAATTCCCTCCCCTCCCCCAGCAGTGTCTTCTTTGTGTGAACCGGGCTCTGCTGGGTCCAGCGGCCCCTAGTGGTGGCCAGCAGCACTGCAGCCCATTTTTCTGGGGGAAAGGAAATTCTGCATGCATTAAGTTCTGCAAAATTCTGCACTGCACAGTGGCACAGAATTCCCCTGGGAGTAATCCAGGCCCAGGTTAGTCTTAATCCACCCATAATAGGAAAGGAGACTACTGAGAAGTCAGTCCACTTCTGTCATCATCAAGAACCCAGGAAACCTGTACACTTCATCTTTCTCTGCTTACAGTAAGTGCTTCATGCAGTTGGCATGAAGTTTCTTTTGAGTCTCACACTTGAATTTTATGCCACAACACAGAAAGAGATACAGATGAAACTTCTTGTTGGCTGCAAAAAGCAGGAAAATCTGAGGCAGTGGCAGTTTTGGTTGTAACAGTACATTTTCAGGACTCTTCTTTTCAACAGAACACCAGAAACAAATATGTGACATATGAATCTATCATCTCCGTCAATTCTACTTGTGTTTTGGACAGAGTTAAAGAATGTCTTTCATCCTTAATTCCCCTCCTCCCCCTACCTACTTAGATGAGGACATTAGGAGTATAGTTAACACAAACTCTATCCCACTCTTATCTTCACTTTTCCACTACTCCATCTCCTCATTTGTCCTGTGGAACATAAAAAAAGAGGGTCTAGGCACACCTGGTGCAGCAAGACAACCTCTGGCAAAAGGGTTGAACAATGATCCAAATGAAAATATAGTGACCACATCTTTAATGCAGTATAAGTCAGGGTAATAACACAATCAGAGGCAATTTCTGATGCAATTATTCATGAACAATTAATTTATAAACATAAACTTTATTTATAAAGTTCAATAATTAGAGGATAATATATAGTAATTGATTTTAAATCCAAAAGATCTCAGTATAAATTATGTACAACATTTTCACAATTCTAAATAAAATATTAAAAAGATCATAAAATATATTGTCTCTTCCTAGTGTTCCAAGGTTAATACATTTACATTTAATCTACATTAAAAACTCATTTTTGTCTGGAATTCTTTTTTTAATTCTATGCAGAACACAATAAACATATCAGGCGTGGATGCCACATTTAAAATGTATTAACAAGCATAGGCACTTCAGGACCAAGAAGAGAATGGAGGAGATGTAGTCTCAAGAAAGTTGTATTCTGACTAAACACACGCAAATGCACTCTCTCACATTCACACACACACACACACACACACACTAATGTCCATTTTGTCTTCCAGTAGATTTAAAATGGGCAACACTGGCACAGAGAGCACTTCTACAAAAGCAAAATGGAAAATTTGCAATTAGATTAGATAGGTTATAATGGAGTTTAATTTTCATTCAGGCCTTGAAGCCCTTGCGAGGTTATCAGTGCCTTCTGCAGCGAACATTTATTTCTCAGAACCTGAATGAGTTTTTACAGGAGCTGTGTCTAGACAGGTCTGAGCTACGCTGATTTTCATTTCCTGATCTCCATGGTGGGTTTAGGGGGAGAAAGAGGATGTAGTGCTGTGATCTACTTTGAGAGTATTTCTTCCTTCAAGCCTCGTCTCAGCTTTTTGTTACTGACACTCAGAGACAGATAGGAATAAAATAAAGCTCGCAACGTTAGTCAGTATTTATATATTGCTTTCAATGTATTCCTTTAATAAATAAAATAAAGCAACATTAAAAGCTACTAATATTGTAGGTTTTTCCCTTCTGCCCATATCAGGTCAGGGCTATGATATAAAATGAGTGCAGTTACTTTCCAAACTAAGAGGTGAGCAGGAGTGCAGTACTCAAGGGAACATCATTTTTTTGACAGCTCAGATTTCAAACTTTGAATTAGTTTCCCTCCAGACACATTTTGATTTGTCCTACCCCACACAAAATTGTGTCCCCTTTACCCCGAACTCACTCTGTGCCTCAGAGAGATATTCCCTCTACTCTGTCCTGGAACTTGTCTGCTGATGCTATTACTGACCACAAATATCCTTTTTAAAACGATTCACTGCTTAGTGAAAATGAAAGCCTCTCTGCTCTGTATCTGGTTCCTAATGCTTTGTTAATAGCTCTTTATTACTGCCTACTATTTTAAGAGAGTATTCTATCCATTATATTCACCATCCAAGTATTTCCACACAGAGTAGAGGCTGGGAAGCCATTCTGGTCCAGTCTTAGCCCTAGCACATGCCATGTACCACACACTATCCCCTTAACCTGTCAGAGCCCTGAGCTCTTTCTAGTCTCTAGAGGCATATCCATGACACTTAACCACAGTTTAAGATCTAAAATTTTGGACATAAGCAACTTTTACAGACCTACCACCATTTTAACTAACTGACAATCTCTCTCATAGTTTATGTGACTGTTTCAGAAAAGAAGGAAAACGTCTTCTTTTAGCTTTGGCCAAGAGAATTGCTTTTCTCCTCTCTCCCTCCCCCCCCATGATAATCACGTGACTGCAGTAACAGTGGAATACCCTATCCAATGGGAGTGTAAATGACATTCCACAGACTACATTGGGTATGGAGAGCTCCCAACAACTGCCTCTAGAAATAGTACAGACAACATTTCCACTGATGGAATTAAATGAAATCAGCTGCATTGTGCTGCAGCCATCCAGTTTCCTCTTTGGCTGCAAGTACTGGCACGAACTACGATAAACCTCAGATAAAGCACAGTCTCAGTCCCCTGATTGCAATGAAGAACCGACTTATTAGTATTCAGCATAACAATGCTGACTGACTTTTAATTTAAAAAAAAAGAGAAGGAGGGAGAGAATGTGATAAAAATCTTATACCTAGAAGTGTAGTTTGGGTGTACAAGGGACTCAAGAACTCCTTGATGACATCCTTAGCAAGCAGCTGCTAAATGCAGTGCTAGCCCTCTACTCAGGAGAATGGGTGGACTCCCTAAGAATCCTATTGAGTTACTGAACATATTTACAGAATTGAAACATGCTATTGCTTTCTGATGTATGCGACATCTATTTGCACTCCTGCTCAATCAACACTGAATGAAGGAACATTTAAAAGTATATTTTCTTTAGTAACAGTCAGCATTAGAATGCAATATTCCTTTTCACTCCCCACAAATTGCACTTTTGTTTAAGCAGTCCTGTGAGTTATTGACAGCTCACTTCTCTGCCACTGTGGAGGAAAGGTGGGACAAGGTTAGGTAGCGGACTGAGAATCAAAAGAGCAACAGATTTCCCGCGTGGCCTTGGGTAGGTCACTTAACCACTCTGTGCCACAATTTCTTGATAATAATCTTTACCTCCTTCACAGGGGTGCAAAATTCATTAATGTTTATAAATCATGTTGAGAACCTCAGACAGAAGATGACATATGGGGGGAAAAATAATATCAGATTTTAAAATACAGTAGTGTTCGGCAGATTGATCCATCTGTATAGATGACATTTCAGACATTGAAAAGTACAGTAAGCTAAAACAGAACACATAACAGTGTATTTCCTCTGTGAAATATTTTCACATATTAAAAGATAACCCTGCATAATCCACTGATGGGTCTGCTTTGCTCCACTTACATATCATAAACACGAAGGCATCCCTCACACACCACTCCCCATCATTATGCATTCTCTCCATGGATACCATTATAGTAAATGCAATGGTTTACATGGTTACATATTTCACATACAGTACAGTACACAATCTGTACTAGAAAATACATACTTGGTAAATGCAATAATTTAAGTTCAACTGCCAACACATGTATGGCATAATACACTTATGACAGAGAGAGCTTTCTAAGAGCCTTAAACTAAGTTCTGCAACATAATGGATATATTTAGCACAAAAAATTAAAATTAAGTAGCTATTCAATAAATAGAGCAGATCTTATGGCATGGTTTCACTTAGCACACACAAGCTGATGGTCACAAACATGCGTTCAGAACACCATGCGTGCATCCTTTTGCCCAATGTGTGCAGTTCCTTCCTCTATCTATCTTCATCTCTTGTACCCACATCTACTCTACATTAAAGTCAATGGGACTACTCACAAGAGTAAAAACTGGTCAAGTAAGAGTTGCAGGATTGGGCCTCTAGATTGTAAACTCTTTAGGGAAAGGACCTTCTCTTCTTTCCTGACTGTGAAGCATTATACATACATCAACAGAACTGTAAAGATCCTGCTGATGCACAACTATTGAACAGGTTTCAGAGTAACAGCCGTGTTAGTCTGTATTCGCAAAAAAAAAAGGAGTACTTGTGGCACCTTAGAGACTAACCAATTTATTTGAGCACAAGCTTTGCTCAAATAAATTGGTTAGTCTCTTAGGTGCCACAAGTACTCCTTTTCTTTTTGCGAACTATTGAACAGTTTAACTCCCACACTCTCAATATAATAAGAACAGGAAAGAAATACAGTAATGAGGTTAGAGAGACACAGTCAGTAGAGAGGTTATATAAAACAGAATGATTTTTCATGGCTGAAATACCAATGGCTTTAAGGTGACATTGCCCCTTTTAACCCTCTACTTGCTTTATCTTGCCAGAAAGAAGAAAACATTTTCTTTCGTTTGTGAGCCAGGCCTGTAAAAGGGAATGAGAAGAACCCCCGCGAACCTAGAAGTGGGAGTAATTTTTCTTCACCAGCAGCGATGGAGAGACTACACTATCATCCGAATCGTCTGAGTGAGCCTCATCCGAATGCGGAGAGAGTGTGGGCTGCAACTGGTTCTGGGAGGACATGACTGAAAAAACCACAAAGAAGACAGGAGCATCAATAAACATCATTGACAAAACCAGGCCCTTGTGGGAAGTGTAATACCTCTGGGCCGTTAGGTTACCACAGTGACTTATGGTTAAGAATAATTCTGTTCCCTCTTTTTCCTGCATACAACTATTACCTTTCCCCTTTCCTGAAAGGGCATGGCAAGCATTAAACTGACATACTGACCATGCCTGATTTGTCTTATTGTCACGAAATCTTCTCAAGTGGTTACACACCATAAAATAAAGTAATTTGAGACCGAAGTCATCTCACATCATAAAAACAGTTATTTATTAGCAGGCTAGCAAAGGAAAAATTGACCCAAGCAAGATCAAGTTAAGTGGAAATGTCATGGAGAGGGCTTAAGACAGTCATGCATAAAGAAATGGGAGACAGGTGGCTGAGGACAATGATTGATGACTCACTATGCATTATAAAGTACCATACATAAATATGTTGGTATAGTATGTAAATATTAACAACAAAAAACTTTCACCAGACTATGTTTTATCTTTGAAAAAAAATTTTTTTTGGATGAATGGAGGAAGGTCCTGCACTTAACTTGATGGTATTTTTCTGCTGACTCCTGGAAAGAAAGAAAAGTACTAAGAATGTTGAGGAGGGGGAGGGGGGCAAGAGGCATGCACACAGAGCGTGTGGAATGGGGGACCGTGGCTGGGGGGAAGAAGACACACAGAGCCCCTGTGAGAGGGGGCTGGGGGATTGGACAATTCGCTGAAATAGAGGGGGATGGGAGGATGGTACACAGGGACTTTGTGGGGGGTTGGGGGACTGGAGGAAAGCAAGGATCCTCTGGTGTGTGCAATGTGTTCAGCCTACAGAAGCTATGAAATGTGCACCCCCACCCCCAGTTAAATGCACCTATGTACATTCTGTGTGGACTGCTGCTGAAAAGATGAGGGAAGATTTTTAGAAAAATGATTTATGAAATAATAGTACTGAGGATAGGAGCAAATAAAGGGAACTCTTAGAAGCTGACATAGCAATAAAAAGATGTGACTCCCACAATAAACTGCTTGTTTCTAAATGGTCAGTCTTTGTCTCTCTAATAAGACATACCTGGTCATTAACCTGGTAACTTTGCTGGTACATACTATCTTGCTCTTTTTCCCCCTTTTTGTCCTTTTTTTAGGCTCTTTGGGGCAAGAACTCTAAGTCTGCGTTTGTACAGAACTTAGCCCAATAAGGTCCTTATTCTGAATGGGCAGAATACTGAATACTTTGGGCAGTATTGCATGCAATACAAATAAATAATAATCACCGCTAAGCAGCTTGAGTTAGGTTAGCTGTGTTCCGAGAGTCCATTATATACTACAACAGAGGTGGGAAGAGATACCACTCTAGTTAAATCATGAAAGCAGAAATGCAGAGCTTCACCCTGAGATGGAGAAGGAAGTTATAAGCCAATGAGTTTCACATATTGTGGTTGTCACCCATATCTGCCCAACTTTATAGGAAGGAACAAATGTGACTGAACAAGTAGGATCTTATTGAATACATTTAAAAATCAGTCTCCAAATTTTGCTTATCTTCAGGAAGTTCTGGACTTGAAACAGTTACAGAAGTCACATGAAGTGAAGGCCTTGAATAAAATACCACTTATTTTAGCATTTTCCACACAGTGGAGTTTTACCTCTCTATTTATAGCTCAATCTAGTTTTACAAAGGGAAGGTTAAGAGGTGACTTCATTAAAGTTTATAAACTAAATACCTATATGGGGAACAAAAATTTGATCACGGGCTCTTTAGCCTACCAGATAAAGGTATAACAGGATCCAATGGTTGGAAGTTAAAGCTAAACTATTTCAGACTAGAAGTAAGGCACACATTATTCACTGCGGGTAATTAGCCATTGTAACAATTTACCAAGGGTTGTGACAAATTCTCCCTCATTGGCAATTTTCAAATCAAGACTGGATTTTTTTCGAAAAGATATCCTCTAGTTTAAACAAATTAATTCAGGGAAAGTCATGTGGCTTGTGTTAGAAGATGGTCAGACAAGAGGACCACAGTGGTCCCTTCTGATTTTATAATCTATGAATCCAGTAGAGACAATACAATGAAAGCCAAGACGCCACTAAACCTGGATAATACCTACTGATACTAGCCTATATACAAGTCCTCTTTAACACTTCAACATTCACAACTCATCTGAAAAGAATGCCAAAGGGCAGAGTAACCAAATGACTTCTTGCAAAATGTATTTCCACAGAACACTTACAACTGATCAAAAATCTAGAGGTCATCAAATGCAAGTTTGAGGTTGGAAGGTATGAGGTGAAGAGCTCATTCAGCAGCTGAATAATTTAAAGCTATCGAGTCCCTTCATAGGTATGATATGACCAGGGAAGAGCATTATTGCAGTGGGGGCCTATTTCACTAGCAGATGGTTAGATCAGGCACGAGCTAAGAGTTAGGGAAGTTGGACTTTTAGTGAATGGAATGGATTCAAATGGTTAACAAATTATAACCAACTGTAGGGTTGTCAGAGTTACTCATCAAGATGATATTTATGACAGAGCATTCTCTTTCATTCAGTAGTTAGTTGTATTTGCCTTTTGGGAGGATTTGGTTATGCTATCTATAAATGACCATGCCTAAAGGCAAAGTGTCCAAAGAGACATGTAGTATCAAGCCCGAAAACAACATCTGTTAGATTTATATTTACGGATATGCTTGCTCTCTCTTCAGTGGCAAGCTAAATATTTTCTAAACTCCAATATTTTCTAACCTGCCACTTTCTTAGGGACAATGAACAAACACCCCTTTGCCCCCCCACCTCTTTCTTCCAATACTCACCAGAAGAGGGCTGCAAGGAGGAAAGTTTGTGTTCTCTTGATCTCCTCTCTCTCCCTTCAGCAGTAAGTTCTTCCACAACTTCTTCACTGGTCACTTCACTGTCTTCATCATCTGGAATAATTCAGCAGTCAGAAACGTCATGACTGCATAGTGATGGTGCTTTATTATTATTAATTATTTGTATTATAGTAGCACTAGTTAGCCAGATTTTCTAGAGCTAAAGTTTTTTTATTTACCTGGTCTCCCTTGTACTTGGAGACAGCTGAAAAGACATTACCACATTTATTTGGCTGACTGGGGATGCTTGGCTGACAGGGGATGCTTCCTTATTATCAGATAACTCTATTCCCTTTAAGCAAGAAAGGTGAAATCCTCCCAACTTCTCCACGGTTGAAGCCTGAAATGTCATGGAAACTCCCAAAGTACATCTACATGGTAGGGGTGAGCTGGAAGCAGACAGGCTGCACAGAGGAACACCATATCCTCTTGGATACTACCCTTTTATCCCTAGAGGCAGCCACTCCAACTCAAGGTTGTGACAAATAGGCAGGGCAGTATGTGGGGAACTTGCAAACACACTGTCTGGGTATCTATTTTGTGGCTACAGGATTTCAATCTCCAAGACTACCAATCTTTCACTAGACCTAAAGTTTTCTTTAAAATTGTGAGAGTGCCCATTCATAGCCCACATACTTCTGAACATAGAGGGAAATGAGATTACCAAGAGAGGTTGATGTGAAGGCTGAAGGGAAAGGTTTCCTGAGTGCTGGTGAGATTTGTTTCTTCTTCCTATTGGAAACAGCAGGGAATGTTCTTTCACTTGAAGCTCTGGAGACAGAGGGCCTGCAAAAGATGCACTGCATTAGCATGAAACAGGGATCACTAATCCACCTGCAGAGATGCAAGCAGGAAACCCGAGACATATACAGTCGAAATAAATAAATAAATAAAACTATAATGACTCACAAAGGTGATAACATGTAAACCAGATGAGATTTCACAGGTGGACTTTATGTTACAACCACCTCCTTGTTTCATCTCCCAAGGAACAATGTTGGGCAGCGTGGATGACGTATACCTGCTCTGTATTACTTTATTGCTCTATGGTTGTCTGATTGCTTTATATGCTCTATGACAGTCCAATTGCTGTAAGGATGCTTCCTGACTATATGATGCAAAATAAACAAGGAGCTTTTAGAAAAAACAAGTAGGAAACAAAATCATGACTAGAGAAAATATACCTAAAGGAGAACTCAAGGACGTTAAGGCCATTGCAGAGAAACTAAATGAATTCTTTGCATCGGTCTTCATGGCTGAGGATGTGAGGGAGATTCCCAAACCTTAGCCATTCTTTTTAGGTGACAAATCTGAGGAACTGTCCCAGATCGAGGTGTCATTAGAGGAGGTTTTGGAACAAACTGAAATTAAACAGTAATAAATTACCAGGACCAGAGAGTATTCACCCAAGAATTCTGAAGGAACTCAAATGTGAAATTGTAGAACAACTAACGGTGGTTTGTAACCTATCATTTAAATCAGCTTCTGTACCAAATGACCAGAGGATAGCTAATGTGACGCCAATTTTTTAAAAGGCCTCCAGAAGTGATCCTGTCAATTACGGGCCAGTCAGCCTGACTTCAGTACTGGGCAAACTGGTTGAAACTATAGTAAAGAATAGAATTGTCAGACACATAGATGAACTTAATTTGTTTGGGAAGAGTCAAAATACTTTTTGTAAATGGAAATCATGCCTCACCAATCTACTACAATTCTTTGAGGGGGTCAACAAGCATGGGGACAAGGGAGATCCAATGGATATAGTGTACTTAGATTTTCAGAAAGCCTTTGACAAGGTCTCTCACCAAAGACTATTAAGAAAATTAAGCTGTCATGGGGTAAGAGGGAGGGTCCTCTCATGGATCCGTAACTGGTTAACAGACAGGAAACAAAAGGTAGGAATAAATGGTCAATTTTCAGAATGGAGAGAGGTAAACAGTGTGTCCCCCAGGGGTCTGTACTGGGAGCAGTACTAGTCAACATATTCATAAATGATCTGGAAAAAGGGGGAAACAGTGAGGTGGCAAAATTTGCAGATGATCCAAAACTACTCAAGATAGTTAAGTCCAAAGCAGACTGCAAAGAGCTACAAAGGAATCTCACAAAACTGGGTGACTGGGCAACAACATGGCAAATGAAATTCATTGTTGATAAATGCAAAGTAATGCACATTGGAAAGCATAATCCCAACTATATATATAAAATGATGGGGTCTAAATTAGCTGTTACCACTCAAGAAAGAGATCTTGGAGTCATTGTGGATAGTTCTCTGAAAACATCCACTTATGCAGCAGCAGTCAAAAAAGCGAACAGAATGTTGGGAATCATTAAGACAGGGATAGATAAGAAGACAGAAAATATCATATTGCTTCTATATAAATCCATGGCACGCACACATCTTGAATACTGCGAGTAGATGTGGTCACCCCATCTCAAAAAAGATATATTGGATTTGGAAAAGGGCAACAAAAATGAGGAGGGGTATGGAACAGCTTCCATATGAGGAACTATTAATAAGATTGGGACTTTTCAGCTTGGAAGAGAGACGACTAAGGGGAGATATGATAGAAGTCTATAAAATCATGACTGGTGTGGAGAAAGTAAATAAGGAAGTGTTATTTACTCCTGCTCATTACACAAGAACAAGGGGTCACCAAATGACATTAATAGGCAGCTTGTTTAAAACAAACAAAAGGAAGTATTTCTTTACACAATGCACTGTCAACATGTGGAACTCTTTGCCAGAGGATGTTGTGAAGGCCAAGACTATAACAGGGTTCAAAAAAGAACTAGATAAATTCATAGAGGCTAGGTTCATCAATGGCTATTAGCCACGATGGGCAGGAATGGTGTCCTTAGTCACTGTTTGCCAGAAGCTGGGAATGGGCGTCAGGGGATGGATCACTTGATGATTACCTGTTCTGTTTATTCCCTCTGGGGCACCTGGCATTGGCCACTGTCAGCAGACAGGATACTGGGTTATATTGACGTTTGGTCTGACCCAGTATGGCCGTTCTTATTTTCTTCAATAAAACACTTAATGAGTCTTTAAGAAAAATGATGTCTGGGCTATTAACTGGTCCATGGACCATGGCTCCAATAAAATTAAAAGACTGATTCTGCCAGGGCTGGGGACCTAAGATCAAAAGGATATTAAAATGTTTAAAAGTCCCTCATACTGGCTTGTCCAGAAGAACGGGCTCAGACACAGAGGGGTTCTGCAGAAGGAGCCTGAAGAAACTGGGTTACCTAGCTAACATCCGGGGGACAGGCCTGCACAGAATCATAGAATTGTAGGACTGAAAGGGACCACAAGAGGTCTTCTAGTCCAGTCCCCTGCATCCAAGGCAGGACTAAGTATTATCTATGCCATCCCTGATTCTACAGCTTCCTTAGGCAATTTATTCCAATGCTCAACTACCCTGACAGTTAGGAAGTTTTTCCTAATGTCCACCTAAACTGTGTTTGCTGCAATTTAAGCCCATTGCTTCTTGCCCTATCCTCAGAGGTTAACAAGAACAATTTTTCTCCCTCCTCCTTGTAATAATCTTTTATATACTTGAAAATTGTTATGTCCCCTCTCAGTCTTCTCTTCTCCAGACTAAACAAACCCATTTTTTTCAATTTTTCCTCATAAGTCATGTTTTCTAGACCTTTAATCATTTTTGTTGCTCTCCTCTGGACTTTCTACAATTTGTCCACATCTTTCCTGAAATGTGGCGCCCAGAACTGGACACAATACTCCAGTTGAGGCCGTATCAGCGCAGAGTACAGCAGGAGAATTACTTCTTATGCCTTGTTTACAACACTCCTGCTATTACATCCCAGAATGATGTTTGCATTTTTTCCCCAACAATGTTACACTGTTGACTCATATTTAGCTTGTGATCCACTATGACTTCCAGATCCTTTTCCCAGTATTCCTTCCTAGGCAGTCATTTCCCATTTTGTATGAGTGTTTTTAATTGTTCCTTTGTAAGTGGAGTACTTTGCATTTGTTCTAATTTAATTTCATTCTATTTACTTCAGAGCATTTCTCCAGTTTGTCTAGATAATTTTGAATTAGAGTCCGATCCTCCAAAACACTTGTAACCCCTTCCAGCTTGATATCATCTGCAAACTTTATAAGTGTACTCTCTGTGCCATTATCTAAATGACTGATGAAAGATATCGAACAGAACCGGACCTAGGACCAACCCATGTGAGCAGAGGTACCAACTTTGTGATTTTCCCCGGGATGCTGAACCCATGCTCTGCTGCAGACCCCACCCCCCACTCCACCCCTTCTCCCAAGCCTCTGCCCCGCCTCTTCCCACCCCATCTCTGCCTCTTTCTGCTCCACCTCTTCCTGTCCCGTTCTGCTCCCTCCCCGCATCTCTTGTTGATCCCGCTACTCCCCCTCTCCCCCAAAGCCTCCTGTACGCTACTGAACAGATGATTACCGGCAGGTGGGAGGCACAAAGGGTGAAGGGGAGGAGCCAATCTGCAGGGCTGCCGGTGGGTGCTGAGCATCCACTCTATTTTTTTCTGTGTGTGTTTCAGCCCCAGAGCACCCATGGAGTTGGCAGCTATGCCTGTGGGACCGCACTTGATATACCTTCCAGCTTGACTGTTAACCATTCTCTGGGAACAATTTTTCAACCAGTTATGCACCCATTTTATAGTAGCTCCATCTAGGTCGTAGTTCCCTAGTTTGTTAATGAGAAGATCATGCGAGACACTATCAAAAGCCTTACTAAAGTCAAGATATACCATATCTACCACTTCCCCACTATCCACAAGGCTTGTTATCATGTAAAAAAAAAGCTGTTAGGTTGGTTTGACACAATGCATGTAGACTGTTTATTGTTTTAAAATCCTTGTTCTCTTGCTCTATGCAGTGTTCCCACTATCAAAAATACACCATACAGAGTTTAGAAAAGGCTTTCTGGTCACTCTGCATAGACCATTTGTCACAGGCAGCCCCCAGAGTGCAGAGGTGTAGTGGCTGGGGGCTGCCTGTGACAAATAACCCTGTTGAGGAATTAAGGGTTAGTACACAGGGATCTTAGTGTGGGAGAATCATAGGATTCCATCCTTAGATAGAAAAGGAGTACTTGTGGCACCTTAGAGACTAACAAATTTATTTGAGCATAAGCTTTCGTGAGATTTCGTGAATGCATCCGATGAAGTGAGCTGTAGCTCACGAAAGCTTATGCTCAGATAAATTTGTTAGTCTCTAAGGTGCCACAAGTACTCCTTTTCTTTTTGCGAATACAGACTAACACGGCTGCTACTCTGAATCCTGAGATAGGAGAAAGCTTGGGCTTGGCACTTGAGGGGTGAGCTCTGGCAGTAGTGTGGTTTGTCCTATAACCATAACAGTACCTAAAGCTTGCAGAAACAGAAGGATGGGGAATTTTTATTGTATGCCCCTCCTATGCATTTTACTTGTTAACTGTTTATACTGAACATACCTATTGCTCCAAGGGAATCTCTCTTTTGCTGCCTTGGAGCCTCTACTACAATTTTACATCGATATAGCCATGCAAATAAGTAAGAATACTGTGTCCTGGTGGAGACTTCTGCTCCTGACTTACCTTTCCTCATGCTGTCCTTTACGTGCTAAGTGAGCCCTGAAAACTGACTGGATGAATGTCACAACCTCTTCTTCCTCCTTGAAGTCAGAAGACAAACTCAAAGAGCTGGACCCGTGAGACATGTTGGGGTCCTCAGTGTAAAGAGACCAAAGAAAAAAAATCAGCCTTTTAACAAATTCCTTGCCAACATAAACGCACCTTTGACATTTTTATTCTTGATCGTGAATGTGGTGTCCCCTGGCAGTGAGCAAGCATTCACTTCTTTTGGGTTGCAGCCCAGTGGGGTTTTACTAGACGTCTATTGATCCAATGATAATATGTCATCATACAGTTGTTAAACAACGAACGTTGAAACACCTGTATTCAACTACAAAACAGATAAAGGGTAGGCAGCTGAAATGAATGTTAAATTATTTCAGTGGTATTGTGGGCAGGACTCATCCTCAAGCTAAGAGTGTTAAGGCAGTCTCCAAGATGGGTCTGACCTCTGTATAAAGCAGAAGTTTGTCAGTGCCACCAAACTGAGCTGAAGCTGAGCTTAAATATTATAATGTGTAGTGAGATGGAGGGCCTGGCTAGAGAATTCTTCATTCATTTTAGACTGCCCTAGATCTAAACGGCTACTTAGGAAACCAATACATTTCCCGCATCTAAAATGTGTAATCAGTAAGGAAGTCTTTTTATATTCAGAGCCTGGCACTCAGGGCCAAGTGTGACATGATTTAAGAAATACACTGCAAATCTTCAGCAGAGCATGCTGGATACCAGACTCCAAACCAACCATCATTTTCAACTTCTTGTTTCTAAAGCACGATGAGTAATGTTTGCCTAGTGTTATGACTCCATGAGTGCCTCGGTGCAGTGCAGCTTTTGAAAAGGCTGCATCCTTTACTCTTACCTGATGACAGAACCAGATAAAGAAAGCAAGCAGCTTGGATACAGGTTGCAGCCTACTGCACAGAGATACTATGGCTTTATTTTGCAGGAGAACTATGAAGTAGATGGTAAAAAGGAAAGCCAACAAATGGGCTTAACACATTCTGGAATTTAAATGACACCACAGGCCAAAGTATTAAAAAAACTAACTGGATAAGTTACAGAACTAAACCTGGAAGCCTAGTACTTTGCACCATAAACTGACTGTAAATAATGGAAAAATTAAGAAGCACATTGTGTCTATGTCCCCACTTGCCCCAACAATTACCTTATTTCCAAGGCTATGCACGGTGGGAGATTTTCGACCGAGTGTGTTACTCGGTAACAATTTCTGCCGAGCTAAATGTCCTCTGAAAGCTGCCTGAATCACAACAGCCGCCTAGCAGGGAGAGAGATAAATGGATGTTAACTCCCTTGAAAGATGGCAGCTACAAATTAAAGTTGAGTCCAGAGGGAAAAAGGCATTACAGGAGAGAGAACTATTTTCCCTGTGCAATGACAACTGTTTGATGTGCAGGCATTTCCCCTCTAATCAAGAGGCACCCTTAACCACTTCACATGCGCTGGTCTGCAATCCAAAAGGGTTCCAACCTATAAATGATAAAAGAACTGCACAGACATACAACTCCACAGTAAATTTAACCCGAGAATCTGCACATTATGGACCCTGTCAAATGCAATTAAATTCAAGCTACAAACATTAGCCCATATTTCATAGATACAGCAATGCAGTTATATTCCCATCTGTGGCAGGCTTTGTACCTTGTCGACCCCTTAAGTCAGGGGGTGGGAGGCAACCCCGCCTCTCTGTGCCTACATCCATTTTCTAAACGCCCCCTCCAGTAGTCAGCACAGTGTGGCCCAATGGCCAGGGTCCGTCTATTGCCTCTTCCCAAGTGGGGTAATGCGGCCTAGTGGCCAGAGTCCATTCAATGTGCCCCTAGGGCAGTGCGGCCTAATGGCCAAAGTCCACCTAATTCTCCTCCTCTAGTGGGATAGCGCAGCTTAGGAGCCAGAGTCAATACAGCCACCTTTGGAGGCAAAAGAGGGGGCCTAGTGGCTGGTGCCTGGGGGCCGTCACAAGGGGGTGATGGCCCCCAGTAGAGTGACCAGGCCCACCCAACTCCACTGGGCCCCAACCCAGGGCACTGACAGTGGTGGAGTGGTCTGCCATGGGGTCAACAGGGAATCCTTCCAAAACATGCTGATCTCATAAGGGTGGGAGGTACCACTCCCTGGTAGGTAAGAGCTGTAACGGCTTCTGGGCTGGAGCCCATGCCAAGTGCCCTTCCTCCTCGGCAGTCAGCTCTGACTGAGCAGCTCTGAAGGCTTTTATACCTGACTTTCAGGTGGAGCATGCCCAGCAGAGCCTCAGGGGTGGGGCTTCCTCTGCTAGGAGGGAAGGATTAACCCCCTCTGTACTATGCGGGGCCAATCTGCCCCGTCACACCATCTTAGATCCCAGCTACTCAGCAGGCTTTGCTGCTTGATAACATCATCAGAAATCAAGTGGAGTCTGGCAAACATTCTGGTGATTATGTTAAACAAAACATTCTTCCTCTCTGCTAAAAGATTTTAATCTGAACTAGGTCCCCAAAGATCAGAAGATATCAAGGGTATAAAGTGACATTTTAAAATCACCATTCTGATAGATGTTATATACAGTTTCACACTGGAAGAGTGTGGAAAGAGCTTTGGCACTTGTCATCCTTCTCTTTACTAATCTACTCAAAGCAGATTTTATAAGGCTAAAGAAGATAATGCATATAATATGTTGAGAAATAATATACAATCATGCAATTAAGAACTCTATTACAATGAGGGCTGGTCATAAATTTTCTATCAACCCTGTCAAAACAGTTGAGTTTTCTACAAAAATTTTTTTGGGAGAAATGTCTGCTTTCTGTGGAAAATTGTTGATTGTTTTGTCAAAAATCTAAGCACCTGTTAAACAAACTACTTCAATTCAGCTATTCAGTTATGTTGCCTCATGGGAGCTTTATTTCAGTTTCCTCCAACGCCCAGTGTCCTTTATGAGCTGGGCTATCCAGCTGGACTACATCTCCCATGATGCACCCTACCCAGGGACTCGGGTGATACACTGCCCTTCCCTCACCATGAGGGGTGACTGTGAGTGCATCATCCAGACAACAAGAACTGGGTAGGAAGTAGCTCAGGGAGACTCGTTGTGGTATCAAATGGGGTCAGCGTGTTTTGGGCGGATTCCCCACTGACAGGCATACTTGCCACTCACAGGGGCCCTGAGGTGGGATCCGGTGGAGAAGGGAGGGCCCGGGTCCACCTACCTGGCTGCCACCCACCCTGGGGTGATGGCTCACTCCCCTGAGGCCATGCAGCCCCACAGAAAGGACAGTTATGCTGACTCAGGCCACTAGGCCATACAGCCCTGAGAGAGGGTGACCTTACTGACTCTTGCTGCTAGGCCATACCACCTTGCTGAGCCAGGCACCCACAGTGACTCTGAGCACTAGGTGATGTACCCCGGCTGAACCAGGGAGCCATATTGACACAGGCCATTAGGTCCCAGAGCTCTGTGGGAAGGGGTTGTCACTCTGACTCTGGCCATTGGGTCACACAACCTTGAGAGAGAGAGCGGCCACAATGATTTTTATTGCTAGGCCACACTGACGTTTCACTCCATATTCTTTATGAAAATATGCTTATGATATGAATAGGACATAACGTAGATGTACTTTATGCAAGATGGGTCTTGTAAGATATCATTGGAATGGTTATAATTTACTGAATGTGATTATCTAATTTGTATTCCTGTATCATTTCTGTATCTGAAGTTAGGAATATTGACTATGTATCTGTATTTCAACTATGCTACTTTGGGCGACGTCCACAGCTAACACTTCGGGTACAACTTCGGAAAAGCCAGACAGGGTGGATGGCCCATCAGTGAGGACAATGGACTGTGAAAAAGCTTGGCCTTCCTGCGGACTTACAATACTGCTACTGACTCATGGATGCTGTGATATTATAGAGTCAGGCGGTCTTGACACCTGATACTAAATATTACCTGGGACTTCTTGTAGCTTTCCACTGGAAAGGAAGTGCGGCAGGGTCAAGTTTTGGAAACAAAGATTCCCACCTTACGTAAATCCTATTTAAAGGTGGGGAGGAAGGCAAACGTGGCTCCTCCTCTCCATGGCCTGTCTGCCCAAGAAGAAAGACTGCTAAAGCCACCTGAAGGGAAGGCAGGGGGGAGTCCAGACTGAGACGGGGTCCAGTCTGAAAAGAAATATAACTGGAACTCTGAATCACAGAAACTTTGCAACCAGCCTAAAATAACATTTAGGGTAAGAAATTACATTTTGTAACCTGTTTCTTAAGTATATTGAGCTTAGCTTGCATACTTTGTTTTACTTGCTCAGTAATCTGCTTTGTTCTGTCTGTTATCTCTTATATTCACTTAAAATTCACCTTTTGTAGTAAATGAACTTATTGCTTGATTATAATATAACCCAGTTTATGTCATTTCTAAGTGGTGTGGGGGGGACAGGAACACAAGAAGTTGTGCATATCTCCCTCCACACTGAGGGAGGGGGCGAATTTCATAAAACCTTTGGGTTTGTACCCCTTAAAGGGAGTGGGCACATGAGTGCTGGGGGAGCCCTCTCACACAGAGCTGACTTCAGTATGTATCTGCAGTGAGGTGTGGCCCTACCTGTGTGTGTGTGTGTGTGTGTGTGTGTTGCAAGAAGCTGGAGAGCCTAATCCAGCAAAGCAGTAAAAGGGAACCCAGCAGGGGATGGATGCTAAGTTAAACCCCAGCACATCAGGTGATACCCCAAAGGGCCCAAACCTGTAACACAGGATGACCAGACAGCAAGTGTGAAAAATAGGGATGGGAGTGGAGGGGTAATAGGAGCCTATATAAGAAAAAGCCCCAAATATTGGGACTGTCCCTATAAAATCAGGCCATCTGGTCACCCTACCGTCACGCACACTACCCCAAGACAAGGGGTGGTCGTAAGGATGCAACCACGGGGAAAGTAATTACCCCGCTCCACGAGGGGACGGGGCACACTTGCCTCGCGACAGGCACTTCTTAATGAGGGCAGTTTCCATGTCAAATGTCTACATCCAGCCTTTCTGAAGACAAAAAGGTTGCAAGAATTATTTTATTATAATGGGAAAACTCTTCTCCATCTCACCTGCAGTTCCTTATACTCAAAAATTCCAGAACCATCTTTGCTCCCATTTTCCAAAAGGATGCATCTTTTGGCAGAGACCATGCACAGAAAATTTGAACTCAAAAGGAGAAAGTTTAGGTAAGTCATGAACAACTGAAAACAGGATGTCACAAGGTAAACTGTCACACAACCTGAACAATTAGTATAGCAATCACTAGTGCTCCTGCTGGAATATTGAATCTCATAATAAAATCGCTTTAAAAATTACTTAACTACTTGTTTATACTTTTTTATTACAAAGTGAACCTGAATTGTCATTTTATTGGTGCGACACACACTCACCTGATCCAGAGCAATTTCTTCTTTCTGAAATGGAGAAAACTTTTAAATTAATATCATAAGGATTTATGGCTTTTATTTAATAAAGATTACTCCAAAAGGTCTCATATTTTCTTACAGTTACTACAAAGGCATCCCAAAACAACTGAAAAGCCCAGTTTTTCTTCCCTGGGGAAGCTTTCTGGAATTGGATTTTTTGGGGGATTGTTTATTCTTTAGCTTGATAGTGGATTTTTTATGTTCCCCTATTTCTAACCCCTGAAATCATGGATATAGAGATGCATCATTTGCTTTGTTTGTTCATAAAACAAAATTTAATATAAGCTATTCTTTTAATTTGTCACGTTATCCTAGCTGGATGAAGCTCAGGCTAAGGAATTTCCAGGTTTGCAGTGATGGTTTAAGTGGCGCAGAATCATCCCTCTGAACCATACTGAGTTACAAAGACCACTCATTTTAGCTCCACATATACCGACAGTTTTATCCTACGTGAACCTGGACTGGCCTCACCATTTACTTCTGCAAATTACTGATCTCAGAAACGCTAAGCCATGGAATGGATTTCCCCAAAACTTTTTATATTATCTTTCAAAATAATTTAAAACCTCTTTATTTCATGCACCTTACTTTTTTATTTTTCATTGCATCATTTATTTTGCTTCTGTCTCACATATTCTAAAAGTCAGGTTCTCACATTTGGGCCCTGACTGGTTGTGCTATGGAAAGAATGTCTTAATTCCACTTCTTTCCCTGTCCTCAACATCTCAGCACTGGTTTCCAACTCTGGCACTTAAATACAAGTTCTGAAAAATCTGTAATGTCTTGCATTTCTGTTTTACCCCATTTACGGTACTCAGAGCTGGCTGGAAAATAGGTTTTCTTTCTGAGAAAAATTTTGATGAAAATTAAAAAAAAATTCCAAGTTATCCATTGAAAATTTGAAAGAAAAATCAAAATCTAATATTTAAATTCTGAAATGTCACCAGGGTGCCTGATGGGAGTTGTAGTTTGGGTTCCTCATGCTCCCTTTCTCCTCTATAGGCTGGGATCTCTGGTAAGACTACATCTCCCATGAGAAATCTCTTGGTGAGGGAGGCCATATACTGGGACAATCACATGGCTGTGATGAGTCCTGGGAGAAGTCAAGCTGGAGAGCCCAGCCCAGAGGAGGATGGGAACATGAGGCAACTTAACTACAATTCCCAAGGAACAGTGCAGCAGCATTTTAGAATCAAAATAGTTCAGTTTTTAGCCAAAAATTTTAAAATATTCAGTTTCTGGTTGGGTTTTTTTTGACAAAACTATCAAAATTTTTAAGAGAAAACAGACACTTATCATGAAAAAAGTCATTTTAATCAAAAACCCAGTTTTCCGTTAAAGTACAGTTTCAGTGGAAATGTTTTGACCAGCTCTAGTACTCAGTACTCCTTTATCCTAGTCTTGGCTACTACAGACACCTTTCCCATTAATTCAGTAAGTCATGCCTGCTCATAGCAAAATTCACATTCGCTGTTAGAATGCCAGCAGAGCTTCCAGCAAACAGGATGACAGAAATTAAAAGAACTATCCTTAATCAATGGCCCTGAAGAAACGAGAAATATCCAGGGGAAGAAGGAAAGTCAGACATTTAGTTATGACTGCATCGGTGCTCTGATTCCTGATGCTCATCAGCAGACTACTCAATATCCTGAAATGAAGGTGAGGTAGCAGGATATTAAAAAAAACCAATCCTCTCTGTCCATATATAAGAATTTCACCTTGTTTCTGTATGCCTTCCAGTGGCTCTGGATGAGTTTGGCTGCTTGCTCCTTCCTGTCGTCTTCTTTGCCCTCTTGAAAGCAGGCAAATGAAGGCTGTGAAGGCAAAACACTTGAATGTAGTGTACATACTAAATGGGATTGCTGGTATGTGATTTTTTCTGGAGCTGTAAGACAGCAAGGACTGGAAAGAGAGAGGGAGATCAACAGGAGAAGAAATCATTTCCTCACATGATATAGGGAAGTTGGAGAAGAAAATCTTATTTTAAAATATATCTGCATTTGTTACGTTCAGCTCATCATTTGGAAAATTCTTAATGCGAAATACATTCCTCACGTGCCTCAACTGTGAACTGGATGTGAAATTAGAGTTTTTTATTTAAATATCTAAAGGTGTACTCCTGTATGTATTTCTTAGGTACCCATCCCAGAGTGGCAGTTACTCTCTTGTTGAAAAATGACTTAACTTGTAATACTGACAGCTTGAGAACCTATGCCGAAGGACCTGATTTTGCAGTCATTTCACAGGCAAAACTTGCACTAATTTTCACTGGAGTTTTGCAAGTGTAAGAACCGCACGATTGGTCCCATACTCATTTGTTTCAACTTACTGATGGGATGGCCATCCTGAAACACCAACAAGGGGAGTCCAATGTAAATGAACACAATCCTGTTCCTCTTTATACTTTTAACAAATCAACAACTTGGAAAGCAAAGGAAAAGTAAGGATAAAAACAAAGAACTTCCTACTTCTCATAAAACTGACCCAGACAGAATGGCATCTTATGTCAAAAACATCATCCTCTTATGCAAGCAGGCACTCTTATTCATATTATGTTGTTGTCCATGTTGTGGTGTCTATTTTTCATTACACAGTGATCAAAACCACCTTCAGATCCCTTCATATACTATCTTGAACTGTAACCAAGGAAGGTTATTACTTACTTGAAACTCCCTATCACCACAGTCTTTTGCATACTGTGTATAACGGTTCAGTTTGCTGAAGACAAATACTGCATAATTCATCACAGCACCCTGGAAGTAGGAACTAGCACCAAAAAGTCCATTTTTGGATTATAGACTAAAAAAAGCTAATCCTAATGGGAGAAGGTGCATACTTTTGGCAATATAGACAACAGACTAAAGAGATATGCGGTTCAAGGGGCTAAGTGGCCAGGTATTGAATCTGAGACCAATTCATGCAATGTCTACAAATTAATAAAAAGTCATAGCCTTTGGATCTCCGGGAAAATACATGCAATACCAAACAAAGAAAAAGCATCAATGTAATACACTAGCTTTATTTAGGAAATCTTCGCACAACTGTGCAAACTGCATGATGATAAAAATTAGTAGTCATACAGAAACAAAAGCTGTCAAAGCACAAGCCTTCTAACAGATACGAATATCAGTTTTGGTATCTTAGTAGTTTCTGTTCATGCACCCGAGGATTTTATTTTTAAATTTGTTGAGTATTATTAAAAATGCAGATGCATGGAAAAGAATCATGAGAAGGCTCTGCAATGTATTTCTCTTTGGTGGTGTGAAAAAACGTCCAATGCAAACTGAATGTACTACTCTATATTCTTAACCTAAAAGTATCTGCTTGAAGCGTTTTTAGCCCCACAGTTATTTTTTCTGTTTAAAAAATAATCTTTTCAACATGTGAGCTCTTGTAATACTGCACTGAGCAAGCAAGGACCAGCTTTACATTTAGGGTAGACAATCACCATGAAGCGTAGGGACAAATTTTTGGGTAATTAACCACTGGAACAATTTACCAATGTAGTGCATTATCCATCTTTAAATCAAGATTTGATATCTTTCTAAAAGATATGCCCAGAAATTATAGATTTGATGCAGAAACTACTGGGTGAAATTCTACAGCCTATGTTACGCAAGAGTTACAATCTATGAATCGATTAAATAAAGCCCACTCATCACACACCCAGAGGGCCAAAGTCTACAATCCTTACTCCAGCAGAACTCATAATGAATTCAATGGGAATTTTGCTTGTGTAAGAAGCTGGGACCAGACTGACAATGGTATTTAAGCATCTAAAAATGCAGATGGACACCTTAGGCACTTTTATATATGCATTAAGTGAGTTAGGTGCCTAACTCAAGAGCTTTTGTAAATCCCATGAGGTACCTATCCACATCTTTAGGTGCTTAAATACCTTTGTCAATCTGGTCCTCAGTGAAGACTGCAGGATTTGGCCCATAAAGTACAACTGTTTCTGAAAGGATTAGCGACAAAAGGGACTGCATGCTGACATTCTTCCCTTGAGGGCACATATGCAAATGAAAGGCACATCTAGGGAAATTATAATTTACAGATGAAATTGGTTTAAACAAGCAACAACCTTCCTCGGTTACAGTTTAAGTTAGTATATGAAGGGATCTGAAGAAATCACAGTTGCATCATGGACCTGACTATCTATCAACCAGAAAGACTTCAGCTGCCCAGTTTGTAAGGGTATAAATGGGATGCAAGAAAGAATGAGGTTATACCTTGTTTGGCGTTTCCATGGTATCATCTGCAGTTTGTCTCTTGTCTTCATGTAGTTCCACCTCCAGTTCTCTCACTTTCTGTGTAAGACTCTGGATTTCCTCCCTATAGTTAGGAGTGCGTAGTTATTTGTAGCCAGAACTTTTCTGCTGTACAGGAGCACACAATGCACGTCTCCACAGTGACAGATATGGAAATGAACTCACAAAGAGAGATGTCATAGTACTAAGTTCAAATGAACAGTGACCAAGGTCACAGTGATACTTTTGATGCTATTTTTTATGCCTCTGCACCTGACCCAATAATTCAGTGACTGGCAGATACAAGATTGTGGCAAAATTGTGTTTTTTACTTTGGCTTGATGTTAGTTTCTGATCAATGTAACAGGAACACATTTTTTGCCACGATTGTCTCTCTAATGATCACTGCTCAGTTCTAAATACTGTAACACCCCTAGTGGATGGGAAACCAAAGTTAGGAGTCAGGATGGAAGGGTACGGTAGAGGATCTACAGCTCTCTCCTCATAAGCAAAGAGAAGGACAAGAAAAGGTCATCCAGCCTCATGCACCAGCTTTTCATGGTTTACTTTAATCTAGGGCCGTCAATTAATTGCAGTTAACTCATGCGATTAACTAAAAAAAAATAATAATAATAATTGTGATTAACCACACTGTTAAACAATAGAATACCAAATGAAATTTATTAAATATTTTTGAATGTTTTTCTACATTTTCAAATATATTGATTTCTATTATAGCACAGAATACAAAGTGTACAGTGCTCATTTTATATTATTATTTTTATTACAAATATTTGCACTGTAAAAATTATAAACAAAAGAAATAGTATTTTTCAATTCACCTCAATGTACTGTAGTGCAATCTCTTTATCATGAAAGTGTAACTTACAAATGTAGATTTTTTTTGCTACATAACAGCACTCAAAAACAAAACAATGTAAAACTTCAGAGCCTACAAGTCCACTCAGTCCTACTTCTTGTTCAGCCAATCACTGAGACAAACAAGTTTATTTATATTTATGGGAGATACTGCTGTCTGTTTCTTATTTACAATGTCACCTTAAAGTGAGATCAGGTGTTCGCATGGCACTTTTGTAGCCGGCGTTGCAAGGTATTTACGTGCCAGACATGCTAAACATTCGTATGCCCCTTCATGCTTCCATGCTGATGATGCTCATTAAAAAAATAATGCGTTAATTAAATTTGTGACTGAACTCCTTGGGGGAGAATTGTATGTCCCCTACTGTTTTACCCGCATTCTGCCATCTATTTCATGTTATAGCAGTCTCGGATGATGACCCAGCACATGTTTGTTTTAAGAACACTTTCACAGCAGATTTGACAAAACGCAAAGAAGGTACCAATGTGAGATTTCTAAAAATAGCTACAGCACTCGACCCAAGGTTTAAGCATCTGAAGTGCCATCCAAACTCTGAGAAGGATGAGGTGTGGAGTATGCTTTCGGAAATCTTAAAAGAGCAACATTCTGATGCAGAAATTACAGAACCTGAACTACCAAAAAAGAAAATCAACCTTCTGCTAGTGGCATCTGACTCAGATAATGAAAATGAACATGCGTCTGCTTTGGATCGGAATCAAGCAGAATCTGTCCTCTGGAATGGTGGTTGAAGCATGAAGAGACATATGACTCTTTAGAGCATCTGGCATGTATCTTGCGACACCAGCTACAAGAGTGCCATGCAAATGCCTGTTCTCACTCTCAGGTGACACTGTGAAAAAGAAACGAGCAGCATTATCTCCTGCAAATTTTAACCAAACTTGTTTGTCTGAATGATTGGCTGAACAAGAAGTAGGATTGAGTGGACTTGTAGAATCTAAAGTTTTACATTGTTTTATTTTTGAATGCAGTTATTTGTTTGTACATAATTCTACATTTGTAAATTCAATGTTCATGATAAAGAGACTACACTACAGTACTTGTATGAAGTGAATTGAAAAATACTATTTCTTTTGTTTTTTACAGTGCAAATATTTTTAATCGAAAATATAAAGTGAGCACTGTACACTTCGTAATTGAAATCAATGTATTTGAAAATGTAGAAAACATCCAAAAATATTTAAATTGTTTTCTATTATTGTTTAACAACGCGATTAATAGCATGATTAATTTTTTTAATCGCTTGACAGCCCAACTTTAATCCTACATTTCAGCTCTTCCACCATACTCCTCAGTCCCCCATCCCTCCAGACACAGAGATGTCATTCATACTTCAAATCATCGTCCCCCAAAACTTATTCCAAGATTATCATCATTTAGCCCAAACAGTTCTGCCCAGATATCTCATTTACTCATCGTTCCCCACATTTCTTTTGACATTCTTCATATTTTGAACCACTTAGTATGAGAACTGTGTCATACTCAACTTTATCAGTTCCTTTCAAAATTGGAATATGCCTATCAAGGTACCTCAAAGTCTCCTGTTTTTCACTCTTTTCTTTCTCCATCTCCTGCAGCTTTTGCAGCTTCCTCTCCAATTCAGTCTTTGCTTGCTGTAATTGCTTCACCTCTGAACTGTATAAGAATAGGGAATTAAGCACTAAGGCAATGTTCATATAATTTGCATTTCAGTGCATTAGAGGAATTATTTGCTGCTTACACTTCTAATGTTGAATAAAATCTGTTTGTTTAAATTGAACAGGAATTTTATATTTTAAATAAGTATATATTTGTCCTTATAACCATACACTATGATATACATGGTTTAGATGAAAAAGGACTTTTTGCATGCTTTTGATATTAGGTCTTTGTCCATGTGCATCTTTGCACTGAAAGATCATATTAAAATACAGGCTGCTCTGTGCACACATCTAAGCACCTGGTAAAGTTAAGCTGTCTCTCCATGCACTGAGAAACACAATTACTGTAAGCAATAGCAAAGGAATTCAGCTGCTCAGTTGGAGGGTGAATGCCATAGTATAGAAGAAAATGAGAGGTATATTTCAGAGGAGAAAATAGTGGATTAGGTCAAAACTTCTGTTGCAAAATTCTCACAGCAAAACTGAAAAAGGTTCACAAAATGATTTAAAGAAGCAACTATGAAATTTTAGTGTTCTTCAAATGTTATCTTGCCAAAAATGTCATTAGCCTTTAAAATTCTTCCGTAACAAGCAGAAGTTTCCATTTTTGATGGTCAATCTTGCATTCATAGCAACTTTTTACAAAGCTGATTTGACAAAGAGTAGATTTTTAAACCTTTTTTGCAAATCCAGCCAAACCCCTCCCAAAACCTCAAATGTTTCAGATTTCTTTAAAATCTGAGAAACTTTTTACATAGCTCCTCTCATGATACAATGTGAAACACTTCATACCTATGAAAAGACCGTCACAGAGGGCTTGTCTACACTTACCGGAGGATCAAAGATGCGGCGATAGATGCATCGGAGGTCAATTTACTGTGTCTAGTGAAACCCACCAAATAGACCACCAATCGCTCTCCCGTCGATGTCGCGTAGTGTGGACCCCGCGGTAAAGTAGATCTAAGCTACGTCGATTTGAGGTTCACTATTCACGTAACTCAAATTGCATAGCTTAGATTGACTTTTCCCTTTAGTGTAGACAAGGCCAGAGACTGTAACATCCCAGACAATAGTCAGACTTACTATTTACTGGCCAGTTGATTTTGAAGTGCACTCCTATCACCTTTCAGTTTCTTCACCAACCCTCGGAGACGCTCACATTCTTCAAGGGGATCAGGTTCTTGAGTGGCTGGCTGATCCAGCTGTACAGAAGCTGAAGGTGGCAGAGCAAGCAGTGGTGATGTACCATTAGCTGATGACTGCAATCTGTTGTTCTCCATCTCATGTACTTCCTAGAGGTTCGGGGGGGAGGGAAATTGAAAATTTTCTCTTTCTGCTTCTATAAGATATGGGGAGGAGGGGGACAGAGGGAGGAAGATACTCATCTGGTATAAACTGACTTCAATAGAGCCATACTGATTTACACCAGATGAGGATCTGGCCCAGGCTAGGAAAGCGGAAAGGAAAGCAGGATCAAAGGGAGATTAATCTTAAAGCCGCAGCTATACAAGATGAGTATGGCACAGCAGAAAAGGGAACAGTACAGATAGCTGTTCAGATGTATAAGAGCTGATACTTGGAAGGATAAGGCATCATGAACACAGATCAGTGACTTTATGTTTTCTGCTGTACCACTGATAAGGCAGGCTGTATTATTTCTGTCACTCACTTTTTCCAGTTCTGAAATCCGTCTCACCAGCCTCTGTCTGCTCCACTCATTGTAATCTAAAGAAGGTAACAAGGTTTTAAACAAGAAGCTGGATTGGTGAGACACAAATCCCTAGAAAAAGGAAGCTTGTGTCCATTCATAAGGTCCACCTCATTGTAGGAGACTGAAAACCAGCTTTAGAGAGGATGACTTTGAAAGACAGAATGGTCTAGAAATGTTTGACATCCTACTCAGACCATTTCAGGTTTCAAATTAGACCATTTAAACCAGTACAGTACATTTTTGGATGATGGAAAACAGGGCTTTATGGGGAATGTCTTGTTCCTCCATGCTCTCTGAATGGATAAAAGCATGGGTGTCAAACACATGGCCCCAGGACACTTTCCTCCAGTCTGTAATTCCCTCTGATTTAACAAAGGGGTCTGACCTACCGGTGCATGCTGTAGCTCAAAGAGACTGGGGAGCTGGAGTAACTGGAATTGAGGAGGGAACTCATGCCTGATTGAGTACCCCACACCAGAGCTCTGGGTCACCCTCTTCCCTGATTCCTGCTGCCACATAGCCCACAATGCTCCTCACTCCCCCTTCAGAGAACAGCACCCAGAGGGGAAATGCCACAAGGGTGGGGGAGGGAAAAAGAGAATGAGGAAGACTCCCCAAAGGCAGTGGGGGATTGGGTTGTGGGTAAACAAAAGAGAGAAAACTGACAAATGGGGATGGGGTGTGTGTGTGAACTGACTGTGATGGGAATGCATAAAAGGGTAAATTAGGGTTTGTCTACACATACAGAGGTGCAGCTGTACCGCTGTAGCACTTAGTGAATATGCTACCTATGCCAACAGGAGAGCTTCTCCCATTGGTGTAGGTACTCCACCTCCCAAGAGGTGGTAGCTATGTCAACAGAAGAAGCCCTCACATCAAATAGCGCTGTCTACACCGGGGTTAGGTTGGTATAACTGTCACTCAGGGCTATGAATTTTCCACACCCCTGAGCAACGTAGTTAAATCAACATAAGTCTGTAGTGTAGACCAACCTTAGTGACCAGTAGAAGGACGGTTTCACAAAGGCATTTACTTTTTCAAAACAGAATGTAATTGTCTTCCAGTACGATCTGTAACTTTGCCAGCTACAGAGACACATTCTTCAGTCAGATGAGACAGCAAAATGTGCCCCTTGCTAGTGACTCCTGGCCCACAGACCCTAACTGAAAAGGTAGTTCAGTCCACTCAAGGAGCCAGTTTGATGCTCCTGGAATAATGGTTACAGACTGATTGCTGCCCATTTTCAGGTAACACATTTGCAATGCCTCTAGGAGGTGTATCCATACTGCCATGTAGTCTATGAACTGTGCCTCTCTCCTCCTTTCTGTGTACTGTGAAGCCTAGTTCCCTACCTTAACTTTTCAACACATACTTTTTGTTTTGCTGGAAGCAGGGGAACTGCTCAGCACTTGGTCTAGATCTGCTTTCAGGCTCTTATTTTCATCCTGTAGCTCCTTGATGTTCTTGGATAATCGCAGAACAGCAGCATTCAGCACCTTCAGCTGTTTCTGGGATTCTCTGTTCTCTGGAACGGATCTGTGCTTGGAAAAGGGGACAAGAGCAGGGGTTTAGGCTCAGACACAGCACACAGAGGCAATAACTACAAATGAGAAACCCCCGCACACTCAATAAACAAGCAGATTGGGGTTAGGAGAGGGAAGGGTGAATTTGGGAAGGAGAAGCAATGCATTACAAGTAATTTCTAAGTAAGAAGCTATATTTTCAGATATGTTAGTACCACATTCAGTTATCAGATGCTCTTTCCCTTTGAAGGAAGTCCCCTACCAAGCTTATCTCTCCACTTATAAAGATACACTGGAATCAACACTACATAAGAAACAGACTTGGAGAATGCAGGTAACAGAGGGTGGTGGCAACACCAGGAAACAGACAAGTCAAAGACTACAATGTGTTCAAAGCCTCCAGAACTAGATGATGTTGCTTCAGTTTTTCTTTTTAATTATTCTACTGGAAGTACTGAAGGTAACTCAACTTCCATTAGAAGTGGTTGTAAAGATTGTTCCTACTACAGGATTCCTGATGACCTGGAACAAACTACTCTGTACTGCTATAGGAGAGACCCAGGTTATAGAGCAACCTTGCCCAGCAAACAATGCTGAGAGGCTTAACGAATTGACCAAGCCCTGCCATGGCCAAATGCCAGTCACAATGGCCAATAGATAAAACAGTCTGTGAAGAAGCCACACATCTCTGCGCTCTGGAACACAGTCACAATGGCAGCCTACCGGAGAAGGGGAAGACAGTCATGGATATGGCATAACCAGTATGAAAAACTGGGCCCAAGTCACTCTTAAAAGGTCTACGAAGAGAAACAAAGTGAAAACAAACAACCAAACAAGGAAGGGCTTGTTTTTTTATAGGACTGCCCCAGAGAGAAAAATGGGGAGATGACAGAAATGGTACCTGCATCACTCAATGCCCATTATTTCAGGCAGCTGTCAAGATAAAATAAACAATCACAGAGTGGCAGATTGCGTGGAATGGACCATACTGAGGAGCTGAAGGTTTTTTAACTTTGGCAGCAAAGGGACATCACACCCTCTGATGCCAGAGGAATTTAGTTATTTTTGGAGAAATTAAAGGATAATTGCCTAGTTCTTTTTTTGCACCCTGCTCAACAAAGTCAACATGTACTTTAAAGGTTTATTTTGAATACACATAGTTCTAAAAGGCAAGGGTATTAAGATTCAGGAAAGGAGAGACTAGACACACTATAACTTGAGTCTGGAACCATCCAGGCAGGCACCATAGTTCTGACCTTCAGCATCATTTGCTATTCCAGTCCTTGGCCTTGTGAGTAAAGACTGCCAGTCATGCAATTGGCAGAGACTGTCCTCACCATTATTTTTTTTTTTGAGTTATGTACAAATGAGGACGAGAAGGAGAACTGATGACTCATTTTCACCTGTAACTTAAATTGAATTTGATAGCCTTTAGCACTGAAAGACTACTTCATTAACTCATTGCACGCCTGAGCCAAAAGAAATGAAATATTTTTAATAGCAACAAACTAAATTCCAGTTTTTAATCCACCACAAATGACAGAACAGGGGAACAGAAGGAATATACAGTATTACCCATCCACAGTTCTGGTGGAATCGCATTGATTTTAAGCAGTTATGCCAAGGATTAAAATGGCCCATTGTGTTTCAGACAGGGAAGCACAAGCACACTCTGAAGTACTGAGATATTATCTTCCATGCTCAGCAGATCATCATCCGTCCTGTCTAACCAGTACTCTGCCTTCATCTTTCAGGTGGCTGGACTAACACTGCTTTGCACATCTACACTTACTTTGCTCTCTGAATGTAATTTTCCTCTCACGTTACTCATATTCATGATACAGATTAAATTAAAATCATATTACACTAGATACTTTGAAAGCAATCTTGAGCATTGCCATATTGCTAACTTCATCCTACTGCACAGACCTTTCTCTATCGTCTTCAAGATAGCTTCCATCACTGCTCCAGAATCTTTATCTTCATGTCTATAATCTCCATGGATATCATCTGGATAATTTTTAATTTAGAATTTAAAACTATTTTAGGAATACAGATTCCTCCAAAATATCTCCTTCATCCCTCCCCGAATATTCCTCTCCAATATGCCCATTTTGGAGAAACACTCCTGCAGCGAAGGAGTGGACATCACTTTGAGTAGGGGCCAGAAGGGTATTAGGTGCTCACATCCCCCACTCACAAGCTAATTTGTTGTCTTGATTTTTCCTTTTAATTTTTAATAATGAGACTAACAGCATTATCTATATTTAGGTAAAATGGAAGCAGTCATTGTGCAAGCTTCCTCAACACCATTTAGCAATTAGCCTCAAGCATGACCTACAACCCCCCACTATTCTAATCCTATTCTAACCCTGCTATTATAATCCTGATGATTATATGATTATAATCCAGTTCTGCTGATTCTTAGTTTAGAGGGCAGGTATATCATACTGGTACTTTTATATATTGTAATTAGAGATGTGCCTGAGCTGCAAAGTTGGGATTTGGATCTGAATTTTCCCCAAATGCCTGGCCCAGAACTTTGGTTCAGATCAATCGCTAATTTTAATACTGTAATGTTCCTAATTAATCATTCTCCAACTCCCTATGTGCCTTTGGTTAGGCAGGTGACACACTGTAACGTTATTAACATTTTATATTTTGCCTTTGTGTTTTGTTTTTAGATTCACTGCAGTATGTTTTGCTCAGCATGCATCTCCTCTTGATCCCTGGTCCATCAGGGACAAGCATTAGTAAACTGGCCTAAGGGCATGTCTACACTTCAATCAGGAGGTGAGCATGTAAGCATATCTGAGCTACCTTTCATCTATGGGCCTGTCCTAGATCAAAGCTCAAGTGACAATAGCAGCGTATCTGCAGCAGCACTGGCAGCGGCACAGACTAGCTTCCTGACCCTGGGTACAGACTTGAGTGGCTAGCCCGTGTTCATGCCCACGCTAGCTTGTGCCCATGCTGCCGCGGCTTCACAGCTATTGTTACTCAAGTTAGCTTTGACCTGGCTAAAGCAAAGCTAGCTTGGGTATGCCTACATGAGCAGCAATCACACAACCAGACACGTCTGCAGAGACACTGCTCGATGTCTCACTCCCACGACATCCTAACACCTCCAAACCGCTACCATTGTTCGTCTCAGTCATAAAGCGGACCAATGCCTCTGCACTATTGGATTATTTTCACTTTCTTTATTTGCAGCACACATTCTAGAGCAGTCTACAGAAGTAACTTAAATGTGCATAAATCAAATATCCAACAATCTCTATACATGTAGTGTTGCCAGGAGAAGCAGTTCAATTTTCGGGGTAAGGAAATGGATTTCCTTTTATGGGGAATAAATGCTAGAAATTCTTTTTTGAGCTGTCAGTTGCTCTGCTTTAAATGTTTTGCTTTGCTTTCAAACAGCGTTAATATTTGTTTTCCCTGTAAATTAAAATATATTTCTTTGTTCTGTTTGACAATGAGTGTGTTCTTTTGATTTAGTGTCTCTTCAGGGGGATCCTGTTTTGGTGATACAGGATGGGAATTTAAAACTCTAATTTAGGTAGATGCCTTATGTTTTCCTCATTAAAAGCCCATCAATTCAGAGTGACAGATCTACTGTGGAAGCAACATGGGTGTGACATGCGCACTGTGAAGTCAACAGAGGTAGCGTGGAAAAGCAAATCCACCAGTGTCTAAATTATGAGACAAACAACAATTTACATACAGTTGTTTTCCATCACTGAGTATAGTATACAAAGTATATATCAAAAACATATACATGCACATGTCCCAAAAGAAATGAACGTACTTTTTCCCCACATCCTCAGATTTTGCCAGCAGAGTTTGGAGACGATGAATCTGAAGTACAAAAGATAGATTGCCTTTACGGACATACATAGCTGGCACAGAAAAGACTTAGCTGTTGGAAAGCTCAGAATTCTAACCTATTAAGCAGTGTCTGGTAAGTGAAAATAAAAGTAAGATCCTTGTGGCATTAGCACAGGTAACAATGCCATAGCCAAAAATGAGAGTATGGTCCTACTGGCACTAATATGGATGCTGTGCTCAGAGCTGTACACTGTATTAGTTTCATTACTTGCCTCGTTTAATTAAAAATAGGTTTTCTACTTTACACCAAGGCTTTTTACAAGTACACGTAGTTGGTGCTTATATATATATATATATACACACACACACACACAAAAAACACATGCACATCTACTTGACTTTCACACACAGGCAGGTGCAGCTGGGCTCTAAGAAACAAGTGTAAAACTGTTCAAGGTTTCTACCTAGATTCTATAATTGAACCTCTCCTCCCTGTTTACATGGGCAGGGGCCTCACCAGATGTACCTCCTCATAGTAGGTCTCCATAGCAATCCTCATCTCTTCCAAATTAGTGGTCTTCACTTGTGTCTGGAATTTGCTGAAAATGGAAGAATACAACAGTAACATCAGGAGACCTGATAACGAAGGAATGACCATTAATGGTTTAAAATATCTGGGAAGGGTATGGCGAGAGTCACATGTGGTTATGACTTAATTCATCTTTCCCAAGGAATCAGAGAATCTAACTCCGTAAGAAAATGGATGTCCAATTCCCTTATCCAATACATTTCCTTGCCCCAAAAGAGCCATACTTGATAGTGTTGTCTTTCTCTTTGCATTGCTGTTCCAGCTTGAGAATCTTCTGCTTCAGTCCATTGATTACCTACCGAAAGGAAAGAACACAGCTCATCAGTTCTAGAGAAATCTCATAATCTCCAGTCAGCATTCCTGTGTCCCAGGAATCCCACTTCATCTTTCTAAATCCATCTAATCAGAAATATTTAGCCATATATATAACAGGACAAAACAAACTGTAAGCATTACTGCTATCCTTAGAGGGAGAGAGTTAAACCAGATGCCTAACAAACAGCTAGGTTAAATATAACCACATTAAGAGCTGAGTGCAAAAACCACTAAAACATAAGTATACAGTCATAGAAATGTAAAGTTGGAAAGGACCTGAAGAGGTCATCTAGTCCATCTCCCCGTGCTGAGGCAGGACCAAATATAACTAGACCACCCTGATAGGTGTTTGTCTTACCCGTTCTTAAAAACCTCCAATGATGGGGATTCCACAACCTCCCTTAGTAACCTATTCTAGTGCTTAACTATCCTTATAGTTAGGAAGTTTTTCTTAATATCTAACCTAAATCTCCCTTGCTGCAGATTAAGCCCTCTACTTCTTGTCCTACCTTCAGTGGACATGAAGAATAATTAATCACCGTCCTCTTTCTAACAGCCCATATTTGAAGACTTATCAGGTCACCTCTCAGTTTTCTTTTCTCAAGACTAAACATGTCCAATTTTTTTTAATCTTTCCTCAAAGGTCAAGTTGTCTAAACCTTTTATTATTTTTGTTGCTCTCCTCTAGACTGTCTCCAGTTTGTCCACATCCTTCTTAATGTGTGGCACCTAAAACGGGATCCAATACTCCAGCTGAGGTCCACCAATGCTGAATAAAGTAGAACAATTACCATCCATGTCTTACACACAACTCTCCAGTTTATACACCCCAGAATGATCTTCGCCTTTTTGGCCACTGCATCACATTGTTGGCTCATCTTCAATTTGTGATCCCCTATAACCACCAGGTTTTTTTTGCAGAACTGCTGCTTGGCCAGTTATGTTCCATTTTGAAGTTGTGCATTTGAATTTTCCTTCCTAAACGTAGCACTGTGCACTTGTCTTTACTGAATTTCATGTAGCATGTAGTCACTAAATAAAAACATAAACTTTGATAATTGTATCCATTCACTATTAAGGGGTGTGGGAAAAGAGGTGGAGAGTGCAAATATACATCTACTCTCCTAAATTCAGGGCTATGAATAAGCTGATGTACTGATGCCAACACATTTATCCTGAGGATGAGAAAAGGCGCTTTGAATTGCTGTTAATTCTAGACCTTTGTTACAGGTCTTCTATCTGGCAATAATGAAGACATCACTAATATGATTGCCTAATTAAACTGTATTGTCTCCTCCTGTATCTTGGATATTTTTCTATCAGTAAGGGTTCAGCTGGAAAGTAGAAAAATCATAGATGAAGGTGCAGGTGAAGAAACAATTACCCATTTAGTATTGTTCTTCTCCGCCAAAGTCTGGGCAAAATCAGAGCCCTGCAACAGAAGACAACAAAATCAACTTAGTTGTGTTAAATTCTTCTTCAGCTTCCTCCCTGCAGATTTTCCTCCTAGCCTCCAGCCCAGGAACATGTTCTTACACTTATCTAAGGATTTTCTGTGCCATCAATCACAATAGTGACTAAGTGTTTCTCTTCTAGGCTCACTGGTCTTACAATAGGGTTTTCCTTCTGCTCTACGGGTGAGGAGTCAGGACCATACCTGCCATTCACTGTGCACAGGGCTTGGCTCCCCACCATCAGATAAATAACTCAGTAAGTGGGCTTAAATTTGCCATTAGAAATGACAATTATCTTCTCCTAAATAAACTCATCTATAAAATATGAGGTATAAGTTGTCCTTGAATTGAACTTCGTGCTTCCAGTTAATGGATAGGTTGGAATGGCAAACTTGGATACACAGAACAGAAATCATCTGGTATGGGCTGTATCTCTGTCTTAGGTAAGCTCCCCATTACTACAATTGAGATATTCAGAATAGAGAAATGATGGGCACGGGGGCAGGCCTGATTTAGTATTACCTCCTATGCTCCCCTACCACACTTACCTTGAAAGTTCTTAGAAACCATATTCAAGTTGGAGCCATCATGTTACAGACTTTTCATGTCTGAGACATGAGTTTCCCTTACTGACTGTGAACAGGCTGACCTTTCAGTTTGACACTAAAAATTCAAAAACACCATTTTCACTATCTTGCACCAATATGGTAAACTAACATCCTGCTATCAGCTATGCTAGGGAAAGGTTACAAGACTCACCCTGGAAGGATCCAACAGCTGCTCAATTTGTCGATCCTTCCTGTTATTCTCCTCCTCCAGTCGTCGGATCTTTGTTTTCATCCTATCCCCCTCGCTTTTCTGAGCCTGTATTGTCTAAAATGGAACAAAAAAATCACAGGTTCATCTAGAAATTCTGCCTAAGTTCTCCAGGCAGAAGAAAGTCAGAGGCACATTGTAAGCTTTTACAATTAACTCACTCTTGGACACCAAGAGCAACCCAATTAAAATGAAGGAAAAGCAAGAAGAGGACCATCACATTGGATTAGGACTGATTAAGAGGGAAAGTTGCAGGGTACGGAGAGGAGGGGAAAAAAAGAGACTTCAATGGCAGGGCAACTTTACTGGAGCCACTGGAACAGCCAAGATGATTGTCTGCCGGTACTTCCATCTCAGCTCCTCCCTCTAACCAAGAGCCTGGCTCAGCTTTGCCCAAGAGTCAAGCCCAACACCCATCTTGATGTACACATAGACCCAACTGGCTGACTTTTAATCATTAAAAGAATAATCAGGGGATGTTATGGAAATTCAAGTGGCAAAGGAACCAATCCCAATCAACTTTTTCAAAGTCCAGGTAGGGATTTGTTCAGTGTTTTGGGTATACTTCATGGCTTCCCACTTGCAGAAGAACTGACTGCCACACCATCAGGAAAATGAAATCTCTTTAAACAGGCATGGTTTCAGTACAGTCCTTACACCACTGAAGTGAAGAAGCTCGGTGGCTCTTCCAGGTATAGGCACCAGACCCTGCTGATCTGGTCAGGGCTGGGTACCCACAGACGGATGAGACAGATAGGACTTTTCTATTCAAGCAGCAAAGCAAGTGTACCTTCTTCAGTTCAATAATCTCATCATACATATCTTCCTTTTCTTTGTAGTCAGGTGTTCCAGGGATGTAGCCTGCAGAAAGAAAGACACAAAATAAGGAAAACTCTTCACAAAAGGAAATCTGAAACAGGCATTTATTTTTCTGAATGACAATCTCATAGATAATAAATAATGCTTCAAGAGCATGAATTTGAAATTAGTCAATTAAAAAAATATATTGAAAACAGAGTGTTTCAGCTGCTGCAGCTGCACCTGAAACTACTGCCAGATTTGGGGGGCAATTTTTTCTTTAAAAAATAAAACATATAACCCCAAACCTCTCTCCCCCCAATTGCTGTATGAAAGAGTCATACAAAAACAAGACAAACTAATGGACCATATAATGGAAAATACTGAAACCAACAACTTGCAAAGCTCTCTCAAAAGCCACACACTACTTTGGAAAAAAATAGAAAAATGTGTACTTCTCTAGCCTCGTAAGTTATAGGAATCTTAGGAGTTACTTTTAACAAAATTTTCAGACAGAAGCGTGATTTTTAAATGTATAATTTATTGTTAAAGGGAGAAAAAGCAATATTCAAGTGTGTGTGTTCCTTTTGATTTTCTCATACAGTCGAACTGATTTTTACATAGTAACATAATGTATCACAAACACTTTATAGAGAGAAGTAACAAAGAGAGTCAATACTTTACACAGAATTCCAGGTAGTCGGATGTCTTATGTACTTAAGTAGCTAGAAATAAGGAGAGCCAGCACCATGTGACCAGCCAGCTCACAGAGACCACATTTTGAGAGTTTGTTCTACGGGTTAGAATTAGAGGAGCGGTTGCCTTACCAAAGCAAGGACCTTAAACAAAACAATATTGCCATAGTTTCTGAACTCACCATTGCTAGAAGAACGAGCATGCTTTGGCTTTTTCATGCCTAGAGCTTCCTTTAGATATTCTGGAGTGCTGCTGGAAAGGTTAGTCCGTGCCTGCGTCACATCAAAGTCTGATTTCAGGGGCTGGCTCATACCAGCTAGTAATGAGAAAAAAACCCAGATAACTATACATTCAATTCACCCTGAGTGAATGCAACAGCAAAGCCCAGAACAGCTCTGGCTGCCTCTACAAACCCCCACTAGAAACAAGTACATCCAAAAACTGTCAAGAATTATGTAAGTCAAATTCATTCCTAACAAACGAACCAGACACCAACAAAGTAAATTTCAGCTAGGCATCTAATCAAGGACAAATTTCTGTTTGGAGGCATCCCAGAGCCTACAGGTACTCAACACTGAAGAGAAAGTTATGCAAATATTGATTAACCAACAAAAATGGTCTTAAGCAAACTTTTAAATGTGGACCAAATGCAACCCTGGAGTAAACAAAATTAATTTATACTGGACTGAATGGAAGCTGCACCCACTTAAATCAGGACTGCATTATAAACCCCTATGAAATTTCACTTGCAGATGTGGATGGAATTTCTACAGTGATACCTTGCTTCAGAGATCCTAGCCACATCTGCCTTGGTGTTTTAACCATTGGGTTCTCCTTCAAGGACCTCCCTGTTCCCTTCAAGGACCTCCAAACTGCAGCCTTTTTAGGATACAGGTATGTGCTGGAGATATATGGAGATTCTAAGGGCAGAGAAAATATTTCAGTGATGCAAAATACCCACCATAGCATTATTACAGTTGCTGTCACAAAACAATTTTCTCCTTCTTGAACATAATCCCTGATACAGTCTTCCGAATTATCAAAATACATTCTATAACACCTTAAGTGCTTAGCTCCTAAAAATAACAACAAAAGGCAAGTGGAACACAGCCACATCAAAATAAGAAAAAAGTCCACCTTCCAGAAATAGCTGTTACAAAGATGAGTAAGTTTAGAAAGAGAGGAATAGTCACACGACTTAATATATACAGATATATTTGTGTGTACACTTTAAACACATCTATGCACCCATAAGAAATATACACACACCACCTAAATTAATACATTGAAATGATCTATTAAAAATCGAGTATACATATATGTACTACCTACACAAAAGATATTGTATGGCTCAACAGAAGAGAGCACTTTTATGTGTGCCAGTTTGCCACAGCCTTTATGACATCAATAAAAGCATAGTCAAAAGTGATGTCACAAAGGTCATGACAGAAATAAAAGTGCTATTTTTAAGACAAATTGACCATATAATCATAGGTAGTTCAGAAAGAGGAGGGTGTTTGTAGGTACAAAGAAAGGGAAGCACCTAATCAAAACCTAGCAAGTTAGAAAAAGTCCACTGTTTAGAAATATTATATACTATTTATAAAACACATAAATATCAGGTATGAAATACAGATTCCAGGAAGATAAATTGAATATTGGACAGTTTACTGTGAATGGACTTAAAAAATAAATAAAAGGTTTTATCTGCAGTTTATAGACATTAAGGATTCTATGACAACAGGGGACAATTTCCTTAACCATGGAATTATAGTGCTAAATGAAAAATGGAATGGCCTAAACCCTTCTGCAGCCTCCATGACTCACATAATCTGCAACCCACTAGGTCCACTGGATGTTAGGATGCACTGCTTCAGTACTTCTAGACCCCAAAACTTTGGATTTCTTTCTGCCCAGGAACAGCAAAGGACACAGCATTTCTCCAACGAAATAAAAGGCACTCTGTGATTTTATCTGCAAACTGCTTGCCACCACAAGGGAAAAGTGCATTACTACTCAGTTAGTACCCAGGACAAGAACGCCCGGAAAACTGTAAACTCCAATCCAACTCCTAGAAAAGTCAAATGTCTCTTGTTATAGGATATAACACTCAGATGAGAAGGCTCCACATTCAATAGAGAATCACAGATGTTCTTATTTTGCGCATCTCTTCAAGGTGTTGTGTCCCATGGAGATAATCTCATTCAGGACAAAGAAGACAGAAGAAAAAATTTGGTAACACTTACTTGGTGACTTTGGGGGTTTTTGAGACGTTTTCTTCTTCTGTTTCTGGAAGAAAAATAAAAATAGGCTTTCTGTATTCAAACTCTCCTATTCCTAAAACACCTCAGCAAGTAATCTGAAAAACAGAAACTACAGCTACTTCTAATGGGGAATCAGCAGAGATCTAATAAAACAATATTAACTCTTCTAAGAAACAAGACTGTAGTGCATGACTACATGTAGAACAAAAGGGATTCAACATAGCTATCCCAATTGGTCTAGTTTTACCAAGTCCAAATGCTACTGCAGCACGCTATAGCAAATGAATGAAAGTACGGTAAGTGCGCACCGAAACAAAACAACACACCACAATTAAAGTGCTGCCCCACAATAGTGCATGCTACAAAGCCAAAGCTACCTATTTTTCCTCATTTATTGAACAACTCTGTGAGGTTTACCTGTCCTCTTAAATATGGGAATCAGCAAGTCCTTAGAGGTGCAGGACTATTACAGGGCAGAGAATGGGGCTTACAATTCCCTAAAACATGGAAGAACCATTACTTGTTCAATTCAACTAGAGCATACTAGACATGGTATTGAGAAATTCACTGAATGTCATTTGCAAAGTGTCTCAGACCAAGCATGAGAATTTTGAAAGCCCAGCAATGTTTGGAATTACTGGAGCCCCCATATGTCAAATTCTTTGTTAGAACAATATAGTTAGCTCTACTTTCTAAAGTATCTACCAATAATCAGTAGACATAACCGGGATATGCTGTGTGGGATGCACGCAGATTCTAAGAAGTTTTTTAAGTGTTTACTAAAAGCACATTGCTGACAAAACTCACCATCTCTGTGTCAGATTCGTAGGTTACAGCAGACAGACTGTCATCTCCCTGGGGAGTAGATATGTACAGTATAACTTTTTCTGCACTCTAGATGGTTGGTTAATATATAGATCACCAGAACTTAAATAATACACCACAAAGCTTTTTTATAACAATCACTGCAGTAAATTCAACTGTGTACTCTTTCACTGCATTACAAAGAGATAATGTACTTGGGAAAAATTTCTGCAAGATCTGACCCTAAAATGTTGAAAATCTGGGCTACAGCAACCTGGACTGCTTATTCACAATATCAGACAGTATCAGTAGGTGTAGAATGAAAAATCACTGCAGAGTGCTAGATCAATTTCAGAAAAGGTAGTAACGTAAGAATTACATATAAAGCAAATGAAAAATGTCCATGGAAACCCTAACATTTTCCTAAACTTGTAATAAAAAATCTCACTTCTCATTAAACAACATTTCTATTATTATTTTTAAATCATCACTATCTTTTCTCTGACAGCTTATGACAATGCTGGGTGAGATGGCCAGAGCAGTTGGCAGGAAGGCCAACTTCATATCTGCATGCCCCCTTTTCAGTGCCTTTAGTCTAATAAAAGAGTATGATGTACCTGTAAGCATCCCTCTCTCAAGTAACTCTGCATTTAATAAGTAGTAACTATTTTTCAGTGTTTGTTAATATTCTAGAGGCAATATGACCAGAGATGCTTATATGAACCTTAACATTCTCCCATTTACAGGCTCTCCAAAGAGTACTGGGTGGCTAATTAGTCCAGTATTAATACCTTAGCACATATACGCTGCTTCACATTTTCAATCGCAACATTAAGCAACCCTCACAACAACCCTGAGGCAAGTATCGCCACCCTCATTTTAAAGACAAGGAACCAGAAGCATAGAAAGGTTCAGTGATTTGACCAGGGTTAGACAGTGGGTTAGTGAAAGACTCAGCATTGGAATTCAGAGAGGAAGGACTGTCCAGTGGTTAAGGCACTTATGAGACCCTTGTTCAATTCCCTACTCTGCCACAGATTTCCCGTGTGATCTTAGGCAAGTCACTTAGCCCCCGTGCCTCAGTTTCCCTTCTGTAAAATGAGGATAACAGCACTTCCCTACCTCGCTGGTGTTGTGAGGATAAACACATGAGACACAAAGGTAATGGGGGCCATAAAAGTATCTAAAATGGGTAGATGGATAGGTTTCCCATGTTTATCCCGTCAGATCACAGTACCTGAAAATAGCTAATGGTTTAACATGGCACCAATACAGAAGAGTACTCTCTCTTCATACTGAGCCAACGGATGATCTTTGCCTACTTGTCATACATGAGAATATCCAGGACAGAACGGAAGTTTGGAAAATTTCAATTTCATGAGATTTTCATGTTATGTCTCCCTTGCTGTAAGGACCATGCAATTAATTTCCACTTGCTGCTGGCTTCACTGGCACTTACAGACACAGCTCTGTTCCTAGGCAAGATCCAGATCTAGCTCATTGTGAGAAGCAGCAGAAGAGATAAAGCAGATTTTAAAGCATTGGCTGACAGGAAAGAAGGCAGCATAGAAAATATTAAGAACAGATAAAGCAGCTTTTCAGCCTGGCTGAGTGCAGGTAGGCACACATTTCATACACTATGCCATACAGTTTTTAATTTCCTGGCTCAATGTTCCTAGCAGCATACTGACAGGTTATTTTTGTTATTCTTGGAGCATTTTATCACTTTGCTGGATATCACTGTGCAACTCCATCAGCTATGTTAAAAATTAGACAGGGAACAGCAGCAATGGGGACGGATAAACAAGAGAGGGGGAGAAGCAAAACTAACTAATGTGCATATAAATCTTCAACAAATAGAATCTTCCATTCCTGAAAACCTGCATCTCCTTCTCTCCTTGAAGAGGTTATACAAAAGGGACAGATAGAAAGACTGTGCCAGACAGTAATAGAACAGTATGGCTTTCAGCATAGGAACCCAAGAAGTCTAAAGCAATGGAGGTGACAGGGAAGTAATTTTACAGATGAGGACACTAAAGCACAAACAGGTGAAGAGTCCTTCCCAAGGTCAAAGAGTGAGCTGGTGGCAACAAGGGCATTAGCACCCAGGAGCCCTTATACCCAGTCTAGAAAGAGTTTTACCACATATTTGTGCGTCCAACACATCTTACACACAACATTTTGACTGAACTGCCACAGGTTTCAAAACCTTCTTACATGGCATCTTCACAACGTGCACAAACCTCGCTACAGTGTGAGGAGGCATCTACACTGAGCTGCTGAGAAATATTGTATCAAGAGAAGTCAAACCACATCAGTATCTCAGTGCATGACACTGTTGCCACATCCATTTAGAAAAAAACCCTTAACCCTGTCTCTTGTCGGCAGGGAAGGAAGAGCGCAATATCAAGGGAGTCTTCTCAGGAGGTGCTCAGAAACTATGATGATGGGTGCCAAAATAGGAACTGAGCTAGATAGCTCCTCATCACACTCCATGATGTCAAAGCCCCTTGGTGTCACCACAGCATGCACAATCCCAGGCACATCATATTAAAAATTCATAGTGAGGTGTCATCACGATGCCCCACCTTTTGTGCTACTGGAGAGAAGGTTGTACTTGCCCCAGGGACACTAGGGTAGTGGGCATCCCAGTCCTACCCTTCAGCTCCCACAGCCTCTCCACACCACACATCTGCCTCGGTCCCACTGTCCTCCGTCCCCATCAGTCTTGGTCCTGTCCCTGGTCCCAATGTCCCCCTCCCCATCTGCCCTGGTCCCAGTCCCCATGTCCCCTGCCTTGGTCCCTCTACCTCCTCCCCATCTCCTCTTGTCCCAGTTCCACTGTCCCCCAACCCCATCTGCCCTGACCTCATTGTCCCCTGTCCTGCTCCCATTGCACCCTCCCCATCTTCCTTGGTCCCGGTCCCACTGCCCCCTTCCCATCTTCCCCGGTCCCACTGCCCGCTCCCCATCTCCCCCAGTCCCACTGCCCCCATTCCCATCTTCCTGGTCCTGATCCCACTGCCCCCACCCCATCTCCCTCGGTCCCAATCCCAGTCTGTCCCCCCTCCCCATCTCCCCTGGTCCCACCGCCCCCACCCCATCTCCCTCGGTCCCAGTCCATCTCCCCCGGTCCCGGTCCCACTGCCCCCTTCCCCATCTCCCTCGGTCCCAGTCCATCTCCCTCGGTCCTAGTCCATCTCCCCCGGTCCTGGTCCCACTGCCCCCCTTCCCCATCTCCCTCGGTCCCAGTCCCATCTCCCCCGGTCCCGGTTCCACCTCTCCCGGTCCCAGTCCCATCTCCCCCGGTCCCACCGCCCCCTCCCCCGGTCCCGGTCCCACCGCCCCCTCCCCCGGTCCCGGTCCCACCGCCCCTTCCCCATCTTCCCCGGTCCTCGGTCCCATTCCATCTCCCCCGGCCCCACCGCCCCCTTACCCATCTCCCTCGGTCCCAATCCCAGTCTGTCCCCCTCCCCCTCTCCATCAGGTCCCGGCCCCTCTTCCAACCGCTCCCATTCGATTCCCGCGGTCCTGTTCCCGTGCTCACCAGCTCCCGCTCCGTGGCCGCCTCGCTGGTCGCCAGGGACATGGCGCGAGCGGAGCTCAGGCAGTGGCTGGGTCGCAGGCGCCGCTTCGGGGGAGCGGGCTCGGCAGGTGCATGTCACCAGGCGGGAGGGAGGACAGGGCGGCCTGAGGGGCAGCGTCCGCCGGGCCCGGCCTGGATCGAACCCCCTCCCCTCAGAACTTCCGGGTTTCCGAGACCATGGCAACCAGCCGCGGCAGCCGCGCCAATACCCGGATGAACAGGGCACGGGACGCCCGGGCCAAGCGTCTCTGCGCCCGGCGTTTGGGGAAGCGGCTTCGTCACGGGGCTGGGACAACCAAGTGTTTGCTCGGAGTTGGGAGACCACAGAGCAGGGGAGCCCCCGCAGGAAGGCGCTAGGGAAGCCCTACTGATGGGGTTAGCCAGGCGAGGGCCAGACACCCACACAAGGGCCCCACGCACAGCGTCTGGCCTGGCACCCAACATGAGGGACCCTCCCCAATAGGGCCATGGTCAGATGCTGATGATCTGATCCCCATGGGGGTCTGGTTCTCAAGGCCCCCCGCGGCACCAGACGCTGGCGCTCAAGGCCATGTACAGATGGCATCTGCACGTCTTCACGCAATCTGGCCAATGGCACAAAGTCTGGTCTTTTTCTTAAAGCCCCAGGTCCAGATGTCAAAGGATTAAATATGAATCTCAGCCCCCCACCAACTCCATGGGTGGCCTTGGACAAGTCAGTCAGCTGCTCTGTGCCTCCTTTCTCTGTCTGTAAAAAGAAGTTAATACCTCATTCCTGTGCGTGTGAAACTTAATTCATTAATGTTTGTAAGGTGCTTTCAGATCCTCTGGTGGAAGGCACCAGAGAAGTGAAAAGTATTATTGATATGGTTTCTATTATTCACCATTATATATTTTTTTCTTTCAAGGGTCGCATCTTGCTGCAATTGACACACAGATGATTGTGTCTACACTCCAAAATTTCCTAGTTACTACCTACCATCAGTTCTACCACTGGAAGTGCTCGTGTAGACTGCACTCTTGCAGCCACCAATGTGTATTTTTCCACCTTGGTGTCTAACCCCACCCAGAGAAGTTCCAAATGACCTTGTGGTAAAAAAGCCAACACATTACTCATTTATGCCAGTGCTCTTCTAGTTGATACCAATGGTGGAACTGAACTAGTAGTAGCAACAGTGGGCAAATTTTTGGGGAAAGGGTTATTGTAGACATACCCATACGTATCTTTAATTTGCAAGGCCCAAGCACAGGACCTGTTGTGGGACAATGACAAGGGACACAAGAAAGCTAGCCTCGCTGCATTTAAATTACTACAACATTTAAATTACTCTTCTATAACTGGTTTCCAGATTCCACATTTCTAGTATCAGAGGGGTAGCCATATTAGTCTGGATCTGTAAAAGCGGCAAAGCCACATTTCTAGTGTTGATAATTTACACCCCAAGCTTGTGTGGGGATAGCGTTCTCTCTCATCAAGAGGGATAGCTGAGAGGCATGATCCCACACAATGCACTCAAGATGGGGCTCTATCTCATTTATTAAAGTAAGAATAATACAGTGAACACCAGCAAACCCTAAACCCAATAAAAAGAGCATTAACACTTACCTGATGTCATTAAATATCATATTGGGATGACAGACACCAAAGGGGCTTTTTAGATATTTATGTGGAGCAATAGTGCCACCAAGTGGTCCTTCAGAAGTCCTTTCAGAAAAAGAGACAGACTTCTGAATTCAGATCAAGTGGGAACTGTCCTTCCAGCTCACCTCTCACAGATTTCAGAGTGGTAGCCGTGTTAGTCTGTATCAGCAAAAACAACGAGGAGTCCTTGTGGAGTCAGCCTTACCATTTTTTGCCAGGCCTTTAGTTTTCCATTCCCCAAATATAACTGCCTCCTGTCCACCAGGGCCAGCCTGATGATTTGGGGCGGTGGGATTAATGAGATGATTCTTTGAGATACACCCCAAATGTAACTGATTTCTCCTCTATAAAGAATTGTGTAGCTTTAGGTCCCCTCTACCTCTGGAGCTGTATAAGTGGAGCTTAACTGTTTGTGAAGAATGCTATGCATAGCGGCCAACAAGTAGGTTTGGGCTACACACAGTTTTTGAATAGATTTAACTATTTCAGTTAGAAGCGTGATAGTCTAACAATATAGATAAATGGATACAAACCCTAGTGTGGACACAGTTATATCAGTATAAGCTGCCTCATACCAATGTAGGTTATATCCTTATGGGGTATTCCTACAGTCCCCACTGGGGCTCATCTTGACTAGGAACATCAGAGGAAGAACTTGCCTCATCTCCTCTAGGATTTTACCTTGCAATAACTGGAGATAGCTCTTGCAACAGAAATCCCCCCCCCCTTTTATTCAGTGAAGCCAAAGATAAAGTGGCAGCGTACAGGCACTCTGACATTGATTTAAACCTCACAGAGCAACATAGCTTGCTGCTACTGATGCAAAATTGCTATGATCACTCTCAAACCAGTAAAGCATGTCCACACAGGGGTCTGCGCCTGCACCACTTTAGTTAACACGAGTGCACGTTTGTGCACAGAAATGCCACCGGAGTCCAGTCCAGCCCAGCCCTCGCTGTGGGTATAAGTTTATCCCCAGAAGCCCCACTTCAGCTGTCCTCCAAGCCCCGCCCCCATGGTCCCGTAGCTCCGCCCCTTGGCTATTCCGCGTCTGCGCCGTTTCACGGCAGTAGGTGGGAGGCGTGGTTGGCGGCCGGTCTGACGCGGGGAAGCCGGCGCTGTCTGGGGTGAGGTGGGTGCCGCGGCCCGGCTCCGGGATCCGTCAGCCCGGATGCTGCCGGGAGGAGACCTGGGTGGGCCGGGCGCTCCCCCGTGCTGCAGGGGGAGGGCGGCGGGCGGCGGGAGCGGGGCCCGGTGACGCGCCGGGCGGGGTGGTGCTGGCCGCCCCCTGGATGTGGCGGGAGCCCGGGGCGGCAGGTTTTCCTCTCCCCCTGTGCCTGGAGCGAGAGCGCGGACAGCGGGGCCGGGAGCCCGCGGATCAAGGGTGGGTAGAGGGCTCAGCCCGCTCACCGAGGGTCTGTGCCCCGGGTCCTCAGCGGTATTTATTTGGGATCCCTTTGAGGCTCGGGGCGTGTATCCTTACATCAGCCTGGCTCCTGAAAGAGCGTGAGTCAAATACCTGATTTAATGTTTGTAAAGCACTTTGAGGCTGAAAGCAGCAGAATAAATTCTGCTGATCAGATTCAGTTGCAGGTTTTCAGATAAAAGAAAAGAAGAACTTGGGGCACCTTAGAGACCAACAAATTTATTTGAGGATAAGCTTTCGTGAGCTACAGCTCGCTTCATCGGATGCAAAGTACTCTTAGATTTTACAGCAAAGTGCGTCTACCTTGTACTTCCTTACTTGACTTTCAGTGTTGCCTTGTTATGGAGATGCGCTTCCACTGAGTTTGTTTCTCACATTCTTTTACCAGAAGAAAACCAGACACACTATGGACAGGGAATGTTCTCAGCTCCTGCCTTCTGTTTGTGCAGTTTTAGCAGACTCAAGGCAACTTGTTGCAGATGACACTTTTCTTGAGAAATTTCTGGACTGGTTTAAGACCCTGACTGAAACAGGTAATTCTGGCTCTCTGGATTTGGCCTATGCCTCTTGGCAGTCAGAGGGATCATCACAGATTTTGTTTAAGGAGAATTAATATTGTACATACTACTTGATTGTACCTATTGGCTTTAAATAAAATGGTAGGTTGTCTGAAGGTGATAGAAGCTTCCTTCAATATGGAGGGTGCTGTCTGGACACTTTCATACTGTAACGAGAACACACAAAGTGAAGTTTTGTTTCACTTCGTGTAAGTGGCTGAGATTCTTGCTCTAATAACATATTTATTAGGGTCTGTAAAAGGGCTGGTGCTTTAAATGCTTCTGAATCCTTGTCCAACTGACAACTAAGTGGGTATGTGTCGCTCTTGTTGGCTTTTAGATGAGCCTGCTAGAACTGGAATACAAAATAAAGAGAGGTCCTAGAAATGATAGTCAATTGTTGCTCTACCTTCCATTGATGTTTCTTCCCCAGAATCTAGCCTGCTGCTGTTACAGGAGAATCCATGCTTGACAGAGCTCATCACTTGTGTGCTGAAACTGAAGGATCCAAGTTCTAGCACTCTTTCCTTTATTCTGAGATTAACAGGGATATTCGCAGCCTCTGAAAGCTGCTTCCAGTATTTACAGGTAAGTTAAGGCTTAAGCAACTAATCACAGACACACTTCCACTGCTCAGCTTTTGTCGACCTCACCTGAGTAAAACACAACCATAGTTATGTAGGGTTATTTTCTAGTAAGAACATTCCAATCCTGAAGTCATTCAAACATTGATTTCTGTTGTTAGATTCACTCTATGGTATTGTCAGAGCAGACAGAAGGCAGTAAAAGCTGCTACTTGCTCATCCTTGCATGTAACAGGGTATGTATGCAGAACATAGCTGTCAAATGCTTGGGAGAGGGGAAGAGAAATTACACGTCTCAGCCCCAAAACTGATATAGAATGACCGTCTCACATTTGTTAGCCTCTTTTGAGGCATGTGACAATATGTAAACTGTTTTCAAAGAGAGTTGTGTGTGCATGCTCCTATGCAGGTACTATCTTAAGTGGGTTTTAACTTCGCATTTCCTGAATTCTGGTGTTATCTCATCATTCAAAATTAATCAGTTAATTTACATGGCTTAGTGTCAGAACTCTGCTTTACAATATGCTACCAAAACACACTTATAAAAATTACACACGACCTTTTAGCACAAAGTATTGCATCCCTCTTGAGCTCACTATTTTGGACCTCAAGATGATGGATAAAAATGAATTAATAACTCACTGAAAGTTGGTGGTTGCCTATAGACCAGTGATCATGACTTGCTTACAGACAACCCTAACCAGTGATAGCTTTTTTGAGGAAGCCCATAAATATAATTTTCCAAGGCTGAGAAAAATTGAGCAAAATTGACTGGGAGGAAAACTTAGAAAAATGTGAATGAAAATTGGGAAATCTTTTTAAGATGGCCAGAAAACCATGATTCCTCATTCAAGAAAGAGGACAACTTTGTCTAAAAGCCTATACTGCTTCAGTGGTGAAGTAAAGGCAGCAATTAGAAATAAAAAGGCAATATATTAAAAAAGGGGAAATAGTAATCAATATAAATGAAAAGTTACAAAGTGTAGGAAATTGATAAGAGAAGCTAAAGACTTTAGAGGAAACTC